ATTATTATCATATTCAGAGTTATTATGTTACGCACACTAATTGACTGCCTTAGTGACAATTTAACAACTCGATTGCGACACTAACCATGGGTTTCTGAGATCAAAATCCTAATCAAAATCATACTGATATCTCTGTATTGTCAAAGATAATGACAAGGATGATATGTTTTATGCAAAGATTTTTGTGTTAGAAACCATCGATTAGTGTCTTTTTTCACTAAACACGTGACTGCGGTCGCGCCAGTGGAAATAGACACACCAAATAAACACAGTTGTGTAAGGGTAAGTTAAAATAAGCATAAACTATAATACTAATGGATTGGGGTATGTTCTATTGCATAGCCGGGATTCGAAACTTAGGATTATAATCAATACGTCATCCGCCCCCGCGCTTTTCTGATTTATGAACACTCGATCGGATCAAGATATTTTGTGGTTATGCAACAAAGTTCAACAACAGTGCGATTCTTGCGCAATTTCCTGCCTCGTACAACCGCGTTGTCCAATCCGTCTTTGGCCATATTGCAGAATACAACTTCGGGTCTTTCAAGAAGCGAGCATACTAATTTCTTAAACGGCAAAGCATCTGCAGTTCCTCTGGTGTTGTTTATGGGTGTAGGTGATCACCTCGGTGATTCCCGCCGTTTGTTTGCCCTCTTCTCTTGTCTTACTAATATAATAAATGCGAAAGTTTAGATGGATGGATGTTTGTTAGAAGGTATCTCCGGAACGGTTCAACGGATCTTGATGAAATTTTGCTCAGATGTAGAACATAATCTGGAAGAACACATAGGCTACTCGTTAATTTTTTTTTCATACCAAGCGGATTGAGTCGCTGGCAACAGTTTGTGTGAAATAAAATTAAGTATTGTTAGAAATTAGTGTATCGTTTTATTTTAAGATAGAAAGAAAACCGAGAAGAATATCTACATTAGGTTACTTGTCAATAAGAGCTTTCTTAGGTCTCAAATAAAAATTCTGCTATGTCTAGGGGCGCGACAGTACCCCTGCGAAGTCGAGTAATTTGTCTAAAAAAGGAAAAGTTACAATATGCATTTGAAGTTTTTTCTTGACTTATAATAATAGTGTTGTACAGTCTTATGTTGCATAGTATCATCCAATATCGATATTGGGGTGGTTAAAATAAACATAGTCATGAATATATAATAGTTGCGTTGATTCGTGAAATGTCCCGCACAATGCGATGCACGACTAACCGCTCGGTGCAACCGCACGCGGTGCATTAGGGAAATTGCTTGTAAGTAAACATTGGCAATTACAGGGACGGAATTGGATTTTTTTATTATTTTTTTTGGTGGAGAAATTTCTTCACTTTATGTTTCGTTTTCAAAGTTTAGTTAATATGCTCTAAAGAACTTAGAGCTATATCGCCTGCGAAATAAAAAAAAACCTAAAGTACAAATAAAGATTAATAATACATTCAGTGCTAGAATTATCTTTAAAAAAAACAAAGACATTATAACTTAATAACTTATTAAAGACTTATTATAATAGTTTTGCGCTTAATAAACGACAGTTAATAATACTTTAATAAATAAAAATAAAAATATAAAAAACGTAGATATCAGATACACATAATCCTTATGACGTTATCATAAAAAAAATTACTCAAAAAATGCCACCCAAGTCCCTCCCTACTTAGGGGTGTCCACACATCAAATATGTCGGCTTATGCACCGACGCATTACGCGATAACTTCTGATTAGGATTATGACCACCCTTGCGGCGTATCGACGGATTAATATCGATAATTAATTAAATCTTTTATACACACATCACTAAACTTTTAGAATTTCAACTTGAATAATCCGGTAGCACTTTGACCAGACTAAGTAAGATTATGTCTATTTAAAAAAAAGTTTAATATGACGCCTAGTGACAATAGTATTTTTGTTCATGCCACAGTTTTTCAAAGCTGCCATAACTGACCGTGTAAGGCAGCCTTTACTCCTCTCCTAAATATCCCAAAATAACAACCAAGTATCCTAGAAGCTAAACTATGCGTTCCTTTGGAGATGCCGGAACCATTGGATGCAAGATGGCCACCTAGAGTCAAGTGAGTAGCAAAAAGGGAGACCTCTTTCCACCGAAACACAGATTATCTTTTAAAGGTCCTCCCCCAAAAAAAGTTGATAGACCGAAGTATACGAGTGTTGTTTTCACTTTGTTTAGAATAATTCTGACCGGGTACGTATGCATTCGTCTGTCACATCCTGTTTTTCAACACTTTAAAAGTTTCTTTATGTTTACAGCTAAGTGGATTGCATTGTCTTATTTTGAATGGACGAATGAAGTCACACTATTGTGTGTAAACATATAATTAACCTACTTGTGTAAGAAAAAGCTTTATTATGTTTAAATAGTTAACATCTTGTTCATCATCAGCTCACTATACGTCCTCACCAAGGGGCTCGGAGCCTACCCTAAGTTAGGGGTGACTAGGCCATAGTCAACCACGCAGGCCAGGTTCGGGTTGGTTGACTTCACATATATCTTTGAATTTCTTTTCAGATATATGCAGGTTGCATCACGATGTTTTCCTTCACCGTAAGAACGCCGGATAAATGGACATATGTAAAACAGAAATCGAAAAACACATTGGTACGTGGCGGGATTCGAACACAGGACCTGCAGATTGGAAATGAAGTGCTTGACCCGTGAGCCACCGACGCTCTAACTTCTTGTTACTTCATAATTAACTTCCAAAAATGATAATCATCTTACTAATATTATAAATGCGAATATTTCGTAGAAGTAATCTATAGAACGGCTGGATAGATCTCGCTGAATGCCATAGATGAACATAGTCTGGAAGAACACATAGGCTAATTAAGTTTAGTTAATTTCGCGCGGACGGTGCCGCGGGCGATATCTAGTTAGCAATAAAAAAGGGAGTACCAAAGTGAATATAGAAAAGAGAGATATTAAGCATTTAACGCGGTAGAGCTGGACCTGCGGGAGCTACAAGCGATTGACTAGCAGGAGAAGGTGCAGGACAGGTGACTTTGGAGACCTCTTGTGTTGGCTAAGATCTACTTTGGGTCGCTGCGTCAGCGGAGTAAGGAAGTCGATATCCTTAAAAAACCTACTTAAGTTAAAATTTCGTTATCATCTAAAAGATATATAAACAAGCTACAATTTTTTTAACCTATAATTGATGAGGTAAAAAACATCGTTCCAAAATGGGGGTATTTTCAAGTAAATTATAGTAAAGTCCAAATATTGTAAATGTATTAGAAACCTAATTACAAGTCACGAGGCGACTGCATTAGTGGCCTGATTTAGTTACCGGCGGTAGCTACGGAACGTAATACTGTACACTTCAGGACAAAAAAAGTTGACCCACAATTATGTTTTATTTAATTTCACCAGAAGCTTAAAAAATATTGGATTTATTCAAATAGCGTTCATCATATATGTTAAACCTTACTAATATAATATTATAAATGCTCGAATGAATGGATGGATGTTTCTTAGAAACATCTCGTGTCAAAGTTAACATAGGTGTAAAACATATTCTGGAAGAACAAATAGGCCACTAATTAAGGATTTTTAATCCCAAATGAACATAGTTGCAGGCAATAGCTAGTTGTACTATATAGTAGAAAAACTCAAATGAACTGGTTGTAATTTTTATCTATATATGTAACTCAATCATTGTTAAATAAACATATCATGCCGCTATTGCGAATAATCTCGTATAATTAATTCTTTTTTTCTGTACCAATATATATGTCCTAAAGTATACATGACAGTGGGGGCGCGCCTCAGACAATTTCCTTAAAAGCCTCGACCGAGCCCGCATTAGCTATCAATATAACGCACCCGAGGCCGCGTCGGCTAACTTAACTTTAACATGACTCGCTCATTTTATATCCAAGTTACTTACAGTGATTTCTTTAAATATCGATATTTTACACAATGTATACTAATAACCTACGAGTATGTAAGAAGCTCAGAATTTCGTCAAAATAATATACTTTTTGGAGCGTCGGTGGCTCAGGAGTTAAGCACTTGACTTGCAATCTGCAGGTCCTGGGTTCGAATCCCATATACCAATGTGTTTTTCGATTTTCGATTTACATATGTACCTTTATCTGACCTTCTTACGGTGAAGGAAAACATCGTGATGCAACCTGCACATATCTGCGAATAAATTTAAAGTTATGTGTGAAGTCAACCAACCCGCACTTGGTCAGCGTGGTTGACTATGGCCTAAATCACCCCTAACTTAGGGCAGGCTCCGAGTCCCTCAGTGGGGACGTATAGTGAGATGATGATGATGATGATGATGATGAATATACTTTTTTTATTTTAAGAAGCAGCAAACGAGCAAGCGGCCAGTGAGATAGCGAAGTGATTGCTGATCGCGTAGATAGGGGATATGTCCCCTTCCTATGAGTCTCCTACTCCGCCAAATTCACTTCTCCATTTCCTTATAAGAAAAAGGTGGGCAGGGCGTGCGGACTACAATTAGACAACGGCACACTCATCAAACTATACCCGGAATAGCTTCCACTTGACGCCTATCTTCTATATGGTCGTGGTATTGCACCTATTGGAATTCTAGGGAAGATGAACCTCAATTATAATGATTTTCGGACCTCAGGAACCCGCAAGATTTTGGGAAATTTTATTCAGAAGGGATAACGGACTCCAATGTGGTTAAACCTCCAAATAATAATACTGAATAGGCGACTGAAAGATATGTGTGTCTACTCCAAATTATTAATCAGAGAGGCATAGTACTGCCTATACTAAAACGATAATTTACATAATACGATAATTAAATTATATAATACAGTTCAACGTTTCTGACCTTGCCACCAATTTTAATGATTCCAACAGCCTTACCTTAATTTGTTTCGTCTATGACGATTTTTCCGTTCAATTCGTCTGGAGCTACGTTATTTAGATTAATTATGTATTTATCACAAACAATGTTCTTGGCGATTTTTAACGCTATTGTAAACAATACGAAAGTACTTAAAGAACGTTAGCGTTTCACTTCTCTCCATGTGTACGTGCCTTTCAACGGATCAAAATCTAAGGTACAATATTTATTGATTTTAATTTTAATCCATTATTTTTGCAATTAAGTGTAATTTATCTAATTAACCTCAAAGAAATTGTTTATTCTAATTTAGTTTTCGTCTTCTGTTTTTGGTTTTCTCTGTTGTGGAAATTTCCTAACCTTTTTCCTATATCGTTGGTTACCATCGAAACAACTATACAAAAACACATCGTCCCTTACATTTTATTTGGAAAACATAGACTAATAAGTACTTTAGCACACGTCAGTGGAATTTCAAGGTCATTACGCAAATTGCAGATGTATCGCTTCAAGCTATCCGTTATATTACTATCTCTACTTGCAAGGCTTGGACTTTCAGAGCCAAATTACTCCATACTGGACGAGAACAGTAACAGATGGCTTCCAGACGACACTCTTCTTACAGGCCTTAATACGTTATATAATAGTATGTAAGTAACACTTTATCTTTATAGCTATCATTAGCTGACGCATGCGATTCCGTTCGCGTAGGAATAAATAAAACATAATCAGTAGGCTATGTTCTACATCTATGACAAATTTCAGTGATCCATGCAGCCGTTGCGGAGATACCTCCAAACAAACATATATCCATCCAACATTTGCATTTATAAACGTATTCATTTATTTATCATATTTTGACCACCACCGGCTGCGGAATCCCATGACTCAAATAACCAGTGGTCAGGGCTGCAGAGACAAGAACATTCTCACGATGCGCGCGGTTTCTAGGATAACTGCCTTTTGTATCGGGCCCTTAATCCAACTGTTTAGCGAGAGCTTCTTGAGATGTTGGTCGAAGCTGTTCGCTATCAGTCCATTTACCGATACGACTATCGGAATAATGGTAGTCGATTTCATACGCCACATGGCGGTGACCTCGTGAGCCAAATCTAGGTATTTTAAGATATTAGTAAGATTTCTAAATTGTAGGATTTTATACAATACTTCTTCCGGAATATCTACAATAGGACATTACAACGGGCCATAACTTATACAAAGGTATTCATAACAATTTCTATTTCGAGAAGTTACATTTAAATAAATATAAATAATAGACATAAATTCCAGATCTCAAGGTTTAAAAGATGATAAGAAGAAACGTCCAATGTCAATAATCGCTGCAGCTATTGTAGAATATTTGTCATCAGATCTGATAGAGGAACAAGATAAATTAAATACAGCCTTAAACGTAATAGTGAGGAGTAGTACTTCAAAATCACAAGACTCCTTAAGAAATAAGGTAAATAGAAAGAAAAACGCATATTGTACAGTCACTGAAATCTGCGGTGTTCCACTTACAATAAACCTTCATTCTCGCAACGAGACAAACCTCTTTTTTAAGTAACCAAATAGATAGCAGCACTTAATTAATTATAATGATTTGACACACTTAATAAAGTTACATCCCATTGGTTATTGTTTGCCTGTTGTCTCTATGAGAACGAAACGTTCAAACGACTTTCGCTTTTAAGTTGGAACACCGCGAGTTTCCTCCACTGTACAAATATAAATGTATCTTCAAAGAAAACCTATTCCGTAGGAATTTGAATAAAGTCTCGTTCAATGAAAATTTAAATTATTGCTTATTTTGCAGCTTATAAATGAAAATGAAGCAACTACAAGAACTCCTGATGTTCTATTTCAAGATAATTCTAATCAGAAAGGATACGACTTTGAAGATCTTTGTAATTTTACATATAATATTATTACAGTACTTTCAGATATAAAATATATTAAAAAGAACAATATTAATTATCAATATTATAAATATAATAGTTTAACTGATGACACAGACAGACAAACTAAGAAAAACTATTCATGAAGAACTTATTTTCATTAAAATAAAAGATGCATGTTTCATTTTACTAGATAAAATGAGAATTATGCTATAAACTTGACTAGGATATCAGTTAACTTGAGGACATTTAATATTTATTTTTGATAAATATTTCAATAATGACTTAAAGACAAAGTGGACAAAACAATGTTAGTATTACGAAATTGTTTGTTTTTTTTTCGGTAGAGAAAGACTGTGTGGAACAGGACATGCGTACGAAGGGAGTGTATTCCGATATGACGGCTGATAGAGATGTATGGATAAGTAGGTTGTATTGTGCCAACATTACGGATAAAATAGTGAAGTTTAATAACGAAAATACTTTTATGTATCAACTGACTGACGTAGCTCGGAGCTTTTTTTATAACATAAGGTTGCAAACGAGCGAGCGGTCACCTGAAATCGCTGATATAGCGAAGTGACCGTTGCTCATAGACATATGCAATTGCATATGCGTTGCCTTACCTACCTTTAATCGACGGAGGAGAAGATGCACAGAAAGAAAATATATTCCCTTTCCATGCATCCTCTCATCCAGAAAGTCCACTTCCACTTCCCATCCTTTCCTTATAAGAAAAAGGTGGGAAGGGAAAGAGGACTATATTAGGCCTCGGGGACGCACACTCATCAGACTAAACGCGGAATTGCTTCCACTTGACGTCTGTCTTCTGTGTGGTCGTGGTATTTCACCGGGCGAACCGGGCCAATTCGTGTGAAGATGTTAAAGCGGGCTCTACCACTGTAGAACTGTGGTTTACCCTAAGTTAGAGGTAACTAGGCCATAGTCAACCAGGCTGGCCTAATGCGGGTTGACTACACACATATTTTTAAATTTTTATGAGTAATAATTTTAGTTGTTAATATTTTTTTGTGTTTTCTCTTGTTGAATATTCTTAACTGCCGGCAGTATAAGATATAAGATAGTCTTAATTTTGCGTTTTTTTGATTAACAAATTTTTTTTTTTTGTTTTTTGTGTGATTTCTTTTTTATATTTTTGAGTGAAAAATTGTATTAATATTCATTTTCAGTAAATTTTTTGTGTTTGCTATCGTTTCATGATTCCACTTTGTATTTTTTTAGTTTTTGTTGTATTTGTCATTTTATCATACTTGTACTTTTTCTATAATTAATATTGTACAATATTAACGAATATTATTACAATTGTATTAAGTTGGGGGATGACCGATGTTACGCGGTGTAATGTAACATGTTACACAGCGAGCATTTTGACATCGACAGGGGAAAGCAGCGGCCAACAAGCCGCTCGATGCGAATGTTACACCACGTAACGTCAGTAACCTACCTTTATACATTATGCTGTAATTAAGCTTAGTTTGTATATAAGTATAGTCTCAAATTGGATTTATTTTGTAAGGATACAATATTGTTGTAGATTAAAAAAAATTAGAACGATTAATGTAAATACCGTGTTAAAAACTAGTAACATTCTATTAAACAATAAAAATTGCCGAATTTTTTATTCCCTTTCTACTATCCTGTTCAAAATACTATATTACTTTATGTTTTTAATAAATTTGAACAAGGGCTGTAGTAAAAATTGTAAGAGAAATAAACTATTGCGCATTTTAAATTTTATTATTTAACGAAAGTGCAATTTAAACCTTTCTTTTGCAATAAAATATACCACAATCGTGTTTAATAAAATATTTTATTGTATCTTTTTAATGCCTGGTAAAGTCAATTTCACATTATGTAATTTTTTTTACCAATTTCAAATCAAGAAGGTTTTTAAATTCATCTTTATGTTTTCTTTTTCTTGGTACTATTGACAAGAAAACTTTTATTAAACAGTTCACTTCTTATTAGACGCACCGTTGTTATATTAGAGAATATAACAATGAAAAAAGCAAACATGAGTTACTGCTCATATTTTTTGTCATCTTTAGGAATCATCCTTATATTAAATGAAAATAAATTAATAGACAATAGTAAAACTTATTTTGCAATTGTTGCACAACGTAACTGCAATGCTGACAAAGAGGTAATATTATGAAATTAGTATTTTTAACATAATATAATTAAAATCTTCTAAAAGATAATTTTAAAAATTATTAACTCTAATGACAAACATAAGCTGATGTTTCATGTGACCCTTTTTTTAAATTCTTTTGTATTCTAATTTAAATTATTCAAACTTTCGTGAGATATCATAATCAACTTATATAAAAACGGCTAAACACTCACGTATATTCGTCCGGTGACGGCACCGACTAGTTTAGAGTCACTCACCCTGATGAAGGACCCCCGATGGACTCGCAACTCGGTGCATCCACCGGACGTATATACTCAAATGTTTTGCCGTTTCTTTATAAGTTTAGTATTATTTCTTTGACTTGGAACATCTTTACGATTCTGTTATATTCAAAAGAAGAAGCATTTGTTCCAGTTTATTATGGATTCTCGTATCGTTGACATTCCTGAAGCTATGCCACGGGGATTGCCATTCACACTCAAGCGATCTAAATTCAAGATGGCGTCAGGTTGACGTCATGGAGAAATACGCGCATAGCTTTCTGCAGCATCTGTATGTAAATTTATCACAACAACATTTTTAAATACTAATTTATTTAAATAATCAAAGTTTAATTCTGCTAAATACGTTTAGTAGTTTCGAGTTCTCCTAATTGAGTTCATCATAATATTAGTTAGGTGTGCTATTAAGAGACTTTGTGGTAGAACTATAAAGTCGTAAACATACTAAAAATGCGTGTATTTTTGTGACTAAACATTAGTATTATACAGTACCAACAATCGTGACACGTTGATTGTAACACATTATTGTAGCACGTTGATTGTAACACATCAATGTAACACGTTGATTGTAACACACTGGCATAATTTAGTGGCTTGCTATCATTACTCAATATATGTTCTTTTCAGGCCAGTTTTAGATGAAGAAACTTGCGATACACAAAAGCATTTCGTGGCAATATTCTCTCAAGCTTTAGTAGAATACGCTGCAAATAACATCACAGATCATATCTCTGCAGTCAAAGAAGCGGCTCATAACACTAAGAAGCTATTAGACAAGTCGTCAAACGAAGTCGGCTCTAAGCTACGTTCGATAATATCTATAATATTGTCTATTGTTGAACAGGTATTCTCTTCTATTACAATGACCGAAACAACAACATAATTCACGCCCTTAACCCAGAGGGGTATGCAGAGACCATGGACCTTCATTTGTCTTGCTTCTATATTCATATATCTTATTAATATTATAAATGCAAATGTTTAGATGGATGGATGTTTGTATGTAAGGCATCTCCGGAACGGCTCAGCAGATCTTGATGAAATTTGGCACAGATGTAGAACATTGTCTGAAACACAAAGGCTACTAATTAGGTTTTTTTTAATACTGCGTGGATGGAGTCAGAAGCGACAGCTAGTATAGTATGAAATATTATTTTTCAGCCAATAATGGACATCCAAGCTGTCTGCTCTTATAAAGTCCGTGAAAAGGAATGTTCCTCGGCATTATCAAGTATACAAGATGCAAGGTTCAAGAGATGTCCTCATTACTCTAAGAATTTAGCAATTTTCGATGGTTTTCGAAATTTAGTGAACAGCTGTGATTACAAGCAATTCTTTGATCGTATGATATCTGAAAGTTATTTTGCAGAACCTTGTGAAGCGATTGATTTCTTTATTGAAGCCGCGGCGGTTAAATATAACTCAATATTTCAATTGTTCAAGACGTTGTTTAAAAATTTAAGTAGACAACCTACGCCTTGTAGAGCTATGGTTTTCTACTAACAATTTGTTAATCAAATAACATTATTACAAACTAGATTTATTATATTTCTTATGTATTTAATTTTAATTATATTAAATGATAAAAAAATGACTTGCAATCTGCAGGTCCTGGGTTCGAATATCGTCATGTACCAATGTGTTTTTCCATTTCCGATTTACATATGTACATTTATCCGACGTTCTTACGGTGCTGGAAAACATCGTGATGCTGCACGTATCTGAGAAGTAATTCAAAGATATGTGTGAAGTCAACCAACCCGCACATGGCCAGCGTGGTTGACTATGGCCTAATCACCCATAACTTAGGGTAGGCTCCGAGCCTCTCGGTGGGGACGTATAGTGAGCGATGATGATAAAAAAATTTGGTATTAGTAAAATTGTTTTTCTCATCTAAATGTTAATGAATTTACTTCAAATAATCATAATGTAAATAAAATTTTAAATTGTTTATTGTAATAAAAATATAATTCAGTAATTCTTTTTTTTATTTTCACTTTAATTAATTTGACCACAATCCGTGGTCCACTGACGTAATGGTTAAACAAAAAGTGCAGCAAAAAAGCAAGAAATGCAAGGTAACATCATAATATGAGTAAAAATTTTATAATTTTTTCTCATCATGCCCTTTTCGGTATGTAGAGTCGGTACAGTACTCCTCCATACATCTCTATCAGCCGTCATATCTGAATCCACCTCCTTACGCATATCCTCTTTCACACACTCATTCCATACTTTTAGACATTATTAGTTAAAATCCTTTGTCGTGAATGACTTGCTTTCGTTACCAAGTCAAGTGTCAGAATAATTAGTGAGGGGACATAAACGTCGACATTTTAGCAAGGCTAGTGTTGTACCAGTACACCGGCACTGTGTCGAATTTTATCCCTAACAATAAATTTCTTTTCTCTTTCTCTACTTTTGTAGCGATCCAGAGTTGTTACAATTCCAACCTTCTACTATAACTTTTAAACTGTTTTATTTGTCTATTTCTCTATATGTTACTTTATAAGTAAAATCTACTTCTTTTCACAATATACAAATCTAACATATATCATCATCATCATCATCAGCTCACTATACGTCCCCACCGAGGGGCTCGGAGCCTTCCCTAAGTTAAGGGTGATTAGGCCATAGTCAACTAACATAACAGCTCTCTCTATCTTTTCAATAAAAATGAGTGAGATAGATGATAATTTGTTTATACACGGGTTTCAGCAGCGAGAACATTAAAATTATATGCATAATAATTAAAATGAAATCGTAATTAAAAACAAAAGAAAGATATAAAATGCTATCTTTATAATAACAATAAAAATGTACTTAAATCAATTGTGTTGTCCAGTTTCATTTCACAGTCGTCAAATTACAATGTTGACAAAGAGGTAAGTTGTTTAAAATAATCTAATAACTCATTTTATTTATGGAAATTATTTTCATTTATGTTCTACTAGATGTCGCAAGTGATTCCGTCCGCGCGAAATTAGTAGGTGTTCTTCCAGACTATGCCTCATTACTAGACATCTATGCCAAATTTTATCGAGATCCTTAGAGCCGTTCTGCAGATACTTTCTAATAAATCCATACATCCATCTAAACATTCGCATTTATAATATTAGTAAGACTAGCTATCGCCCGCGACTCTGTCCGCGCGAATTTAAATATAATTAGTAGCCTGTGTTCTTCCAGACTATGTTCTACATCTATGCCAAATTTTATCGTGATCCGTTAAGACGTTCTGGAGATACCTTCTAACAAACATCCATCTATCCATCAAAACATTCGCATTTATATTATTAGTAAGATTACTAGTGGTACTTTTAGACTTCTAATATTTTTTTGTATTCCAATTGTAAATATAATAAACGTTTGATTACAGTTTAATATGTATATTAGTGGGCGCGGCCATTTTGAATTTATGTAACGGCCAGTGTTACGTTGTGCCGGAAGATTTGAACACAAAATGGCGGCCCGCAGACGTCGTGGAACAAGTTGCTCACGACTTTTACCAGAGTTTGTATGTATTAAATAATTTATTAATCAATTTCAATCTTGATATCCTCTTGTAAGACCCTATCCTTGTTTAGTAACGCATCTGTAATTTTTAATTTGATCCATGGGCAAAGGTCATTCCAAAATTCAGCCACAACTTTTTTATTAATTGCAGAGCCCTTGGTCCGGAAGACAATGGTGATATTGAGAAGCGCTTTGTGTCAGTGTATTCCCATACCTTGTTCCTATACATCGCCAGCAACAAGACAGATGAGACGGATCGCATCAAAGACGCCGCACACCGCACCAGGAACAAACTGGATAGTAGCGCGGACCAGCTAGCTGGACCTATCCGAGCGCTGATATCTTTAGCGATGCTTATTATCGAAGGGGTCTGTTGTTTATTTTTAAACTGGTTACAGTATATTTTGGTTTAAATCCAAAATCCTTCTATTGCACTTGAGTCCATCGAGGGGGATCTAGTGGGTGAAATCCCACATAACCCTATCATCCCCTTTTAAGGTAGGGTGTCTTAGATTTCGCTCCTGACACCAAAATAGCACATAAACTATTTGGGTAGTGTTTTGCTGTATATAAGAACAATATTATAAAATAGTAGCTGTCTTTAAAAAACCTTAATAAGTAGCCTATGTGTTCTTTCAGACTATGTTCTACATCTGTACCAAATTTCATTAAGATCCGTTAAGGGGTTCTGGCGTTCAGACATACATCCATCCATCCATCTAAACATTCGTATTTTTATTAGTAAGATTAACTAAATGAAGATAATATTTAAATCGTACTTACTTTTAAGGAAATTTAATAAATATACTTCGTCTCTTCCAGCCTCTAACCGACGTTCAAGTAGCCTGTCCATACTACGTAAGACAGCATGAATGCAAAGAAATTTTATCAAAACTCCAAGCTGACAAAATAAAGCAATGTGCAGGTTATAAAGATAACATAGAGCTGTACAATAGAGCAACCAGTTTAATTAATAGTTGCGGTATGGAGAATCTTCTAGAAGAATTGGCAACAGAGAGCAACAAAGGAGGTGATATGGAGGCTATTAATCTGTTTACTGACTTCGCTTCAATCAAATATGCTAGTACTATCAGATCTTTTAGGAATATTATGCAAAGTGTGAAAAATATTCATACATCTTGTCATGTATTTTCATTTATATAAATATATATGTATTTAATTCGGTACCAAAAAGTTAAAATAGGCAAAGTTATAAAGCCTTTCTGTTTAATTTCCCAAATGTTGACATTTATATTACGAAATTTGTTAATAAAGAAAATTGAATGAAACCTATTTTCTTATGTTTGTAATTAATTTTTTAGTTCTAAGTGTCATGGAGGACATAAGTCCTATGTCCCCGTAGCGGGGCAGAGGGCGTCCACAGTGCGCTGCCAGTTCGCTCTATCTTGAGCGTTTGGTCTCGGACCATGTCAGTCCGGTTGTCTTCATGTCGGCAGCTACTGATCGCCGTCAAGTTTACTTAGGTCGGCCTCGTCTCAGTTCTAAGTGTAGTTAAGCATAATTAATAGTCATGTTTAAATTAAAAATTGATAAACCAAAAACAATATACAATATTATTTTTGTTAAAAATATTTTAATAAACAGATACAATCTGATTCAACTCATCTTGATGGGAAAAATTCCCGGTAAAAGGAGTGTTGGTCGCAGAAAAAAGCCCTGGTTGCGCTACATCCGAGAGTAGACAGGGGTTGCGAGTGCCGCCCAACTTTTTCGCCTCGCAAGAGACAAAGGAAAATATGGAGAACTGATCGCTAACCTTCGCTAGTCGGAGAGGCACCTCAAGAAGAAGAAGAAGAAAAAATATTTTAGATTTAAATGTGTTTTGATATACAGTAAAAAAATTACAAAATATCGGCTCCCTGTCATTATCTTTAACAAAACATATTACTATATAAAATATATTAATAACTTGTTTTAATCGTGGATTTTGGTCTCAGAAACCCACGCTTAAATGACGATAAATTATATCATTTTGTTACCAAATTCAGCAAGTTAAATTTAAAATTAGCAATTTCTTATTACGAGGTTAAGTAAATACCTTATTACTAAATTAATAAATAGGACTAAATTGGGAATAAACACTACTCAATCTAAGTTAAGTACATTTATTTTAATTCTTCAAGATCCTGGAACAAGTTGTCGTTAGCTCATATGTCTCCAAGAGGCTCAGGATCTCCCAAAGTTAGGGATATATAATCCATACATACTGGAAGAAGTATATTTCTAATACACATAGATCAATAGAGCATCATCATCAGCTCACTATATGACACTGAGGAGCTCGGAGCCTACCCTAAGTTACTAGGCTATAGTCAATGCTGGCTCAGTGCAGGTTGACTTCACTCATATCTTTGAATTTCTTCTCAGATATGTGCAGCATCACGATGTTTTCCTTTACCGTAAGAACGTCGGATAAATGTACATATTTAAATTGAAAATCGAAAAACACATTGGTACATGGCGAGATTCGAACCCAGGATCTGTAGACAAGTCAAGTGCTTGAACCCCTGAGTCACCGATGCTCTTCATAGTTCTCTAGTAGTTTAGTAGCTCTTTGTTTTGATATAGATTTAAATTTCTTTTACCTTATACTATGACTAAGAAAGTGGTGAGATATAAACATGCTAGCATTACTCTACGTGTCAATTAACAAACGATAAAATTTGGAAGCCATTTTGATTTCTAATTTCGGACAGTTAAACTTTCAAAAACAATATCAACTGCTATCTACTGACCAGAACGTGACTTGTGATTATTTATTAATCAAACATTAATCACGAATTCTCATTAAAACATAACCTCAAATAATATTAACAATTTTCTATCGCAAACTCTATAATGCTGTCATACAGGTAACTTCGTCAATTCTTACTAATATTATAAATGCGAAAGTAACTCTGTCTGTCCTTTCATGCAAAAACTATTGAACAGATTTAAATTAAATTTGGTAAACAGATAGTCTAGATCCAGGGGAAGGATATAGGCTACTTTTTAACGCGAAAAAGGGTTTGTAAGGGGTTGGAAATTTGTATGGAAATATCGTTATTTACAGATAGAAGCGTGAAACTTATTAGGCTGTTAGTTATAAACATTAGGGGATGAAAGTTTTTTTTTAGAATATGTAAGGTTTATGTGAATGTATTGTGAATTTAAATTGTTTTTTTATATGTATTAATGCATAAGTGTTAGTAAAATAAGTAGTCTAAATATTTTAATCTTGGAGCGTCGGTGGCTCAGTTGTCAAGAACTTGACTTGCAATCTGCAGGTCCTGGGTTCGAATTCCGCCATGTACCAATGTGTTTTTCGATTTTCGATTTACATATGTACATTTATCCGACTTTCTTACGGTGAAGGAAAACATCGTGATACATCCTGCACATATCTGAGAAGAAATTCAAAGATACGTGTGAATTCAACCAACCCGCACTTTGCCAGCGTGGTTGACTATGGCCTAATCACCCTTAACTTAGGGTAGGCTCCGAGCTCCGAGAGAGGTGGGGACGTATAGTGAGCTGGTGATGTAAATATTTTAATCTACCCAAAAGCATTTTACACGAACGAAGTCGTGGCTACAACTAGTTTTCTTAACTTGAACTCTTCACAGTCTGTTGGTGTTGTTGGTGATTGCTGTGGGATGTCATGTGTGTCATGGGCAGTGTCATACTGTGGCATCAGACCTCAACACGCAGTGGCGAGGGGCGGATGTCCTGGAACGATACGGCAGGAATTACTATAAGAGTCTGTAAGTCTTTTGAAATCTTTTTACGGCGTGATTTCAGTTGAAGGGAATGTTTTCAAAACTTGTTGATTATACTACTGAGTTTTCATTGCTGTAATACTTGTATAGAAACGTAATTTTATTTTTTTCATTCAATTTCAAGAATGTTTTAATAAGAGTCTTACAGCACTTGAAGATATTCATATATGCGACACTAGCTGTCACCCGCGACTCCGCCTTCGCGGAATTAAAAACAAACACAATTAGTAGCCTATGTGTTCTTGCAGACTATGTTTTATATGTTTTCCAAATTTCATAGAGATCCGTTCAGCCGTTCTGGAGATACCTTCAAACAAACATCCATCTAATCAGTAAGATGGTTGTAGAAAATACCTCTTTCAAAACAAGAATTTATCAACAAAGAATTAGAGATTGTAAGTTTGTTCTATTCCAGAGCACTAGGACCTGAAGATACTTGTATTAAAAGAAAGCGTTTCGCTTCAGTCTTCTCTGAAGCAGTGCTACAATACTTTAAAAGCAACATAACAGATAGAGATGAAGCTATCAGGGATGCTGTGGCAAAGACAGAGAAGGAATTATATAAACCTGCAGATGTTATTGGCAGTGAATTTAGATCTGTATTTACTTATATATATTCATTTATTGATCAGGTTTGTAAAAATAAGACCCAGTTCATTTTCACAACAGACAAATAATCTAGTAATGTCTAATTTGTATATGTAACTGCCCGCGACTCCGTCCGCGTGGTATTAAATAATATAATTAGTAGCCTATGTGTTGTTCCAGACTATGTTCTATATGTATTCCAAAATTCATCAAGATACATTCAGTCGTTCAGGAGATAACCTTATAACAAACATCCATCCATCTCTTCAATATTAGCTCACTAAACGTCCCCACTGAACGGCTACTCTAAATCAAGGGTGACTAGGCCATAGCTAGCCCATTTGCGGGTTAGTTGACTTCACACATATTTTTGAATTTCTTCTCAGATATGTGTAGTTGCACCACAATGTTTTCCTTCGCCGTAAGAACGTCGGAATAAATTTACAAAATCGAAATACATATTGGTACATAGCGGGATTCGAATCGAGGATCTGCTGGTTGCAAGTCAAGTGCGTAACCCACAGAACCCACAGTATTGGCACACAGTATTTATAGTACTTTTTCTCTTTAGTGGGTGGCTATGCCATTACTCGTTCCTCTAATATATTGTGTCAGGGATCTGGGGTGCGGGTTTTATTTTTTTTTACATTTATAATATTAGTAAGATTAAAAATAGACTTTCTTTTCAGCCTTTGACTGACGTACAAGCAGTTTGTCCTTACAATATCCGTGAAGCAGAATGTGAAAAACGTTTTAAAGAGATTCGAAATGAACGTCTTAAACGATGTCCTGGATATCGTTGGAATGTAGAGCTTTACTCCACTTTTGTATTCCTTGTTACTAATTGTGGATTCCAGAATCTTATAGTAGAATTGATGAGGGAGAGTGCTACTGGAGGTGATTTGGAGGCATTGAATTTCTTTATAGAAACCGCAGCTGTGAAATTCTCGAATGTTCTCCAGTTTATGAAAGATATATGGAAGGGTATTCAACTTTTACCATTAACATGTAAAACAATTTCTTTTCTTTGAATGTGATGATGTAAAAAAAGTTTTTTAAATTAGAATTTTGTTTTATTAACTAACTATCGCTAAAAAAGGTAATGAGTTGTCTATGTGTTCTTCCAGACTATGATCTACATCTATGCCAAATTTTATCGAGATTCATGAAGCCGTTCCGGAGATACCTTCTAACAAACATCCATCTAAACATTCGCATTTATAATATTAGTAAGAAGTAACATTAAATACTTTTGTTGATATTATTTTTATGTTTAAATGTATTTATTTCCCTTGAATCTCAGACATTCTTTTTTCCTTATCCTTAAAATCGATAATGACGTTGAATGATAATATTTTTGTAACATTTTTTGGTCAAACTGTCAGACCTGTGACCTTTTTATGTGAGGAAAATGCCTACGCATGCTTTTGCGGCGCAAAAGCGGATTATATCTGATTCGTACCGTCTTAAAGAAAGGGCAAGGACTGTAAGTGGATTTGGTGGAGGATGGGACGCATAATAAGGGGAATACTGTTTCTGTGTGTCTACTCCTCAGTCGATTAAAGGTAGGCAACGCGGCTCCAATTGCGGATGTCTATTGGCAGTAGTCGCTTCGCCATTTAGACGAATTTAGGTGGCCGCTTGCTCGTTTACAATCTTATGATATAAAAAATGCATGACGGAAGATCGACCAGGAAGAGCCCAATGCGGTGACCCTACGGGATAAGAGGGAGATGAATATAAAAGCGTATATTTTTATTTACAATTTTAGGCAAACGATTAAGAGCTTCACAGGCACGTGCTATATTAAAATATGGTTAATAATTCTTTATAGTAAAGTTAGTAATATTGCGACACGACATATAATTAAAAATTAATACGTCACGACATTCGGACATTCAAACATACAGACATTCAGACATTCTTTACAGTTATCTCCCTGGACTTGACCAAGTAAGATATTAATAAATATTAAATTAAGATTTTTTAAATTAAACACCACTCTACTTCTCAAATCTTCGTCAATTTTATTTCAGACTGTTTCGTGATCAAGAGACTTCCTCCTGCTTATTTCTAGAATGATCGTGGTCTGGACAATCGTAGTAGGCTTGCTTAGTCATTGTGGAGCTGAGAAATTGCCTATAGACAAGAATGACAAGTGGCGAGAGAACGACCTAATTCTAAAACAAATTGACAACTTCTATCTTCATTTGTAAGTACCAGAAATTTTAAGACCATGTACTAAATTTACTAGACATTTTTGCATGAAAATAATGACATTAACTAACTAAACTTGAACATTAATTAGAAGAAATAGAATATTGAAGAAATATAATAATCATATTAGAAATAGAATATTGCTCTGTTTACTAACAGTGCAATATTCTATTTCCATCTCTCACTCTCTCACAGAAAAACATCAAGGGAAGCTTTCTGCCTCTTTTCTAAAACAACCGCTAGTTGAAACTTACCGATGGTCTCAGAGACCAAAATCTTTGTATAAAACATATCGCCATCAACGTCACCAAGATTTTTGGTCTCAGAATCCCACAGTTAGTAGACTGTCTAATGAAAAATAACTATAAGAACAGTTATATCTTAATAAAATAAAAATTAAAAATAGATTCAGTTTCAGACGAAACGCAGATTTGCGTCGACTTCACGCCTGTCTTCTGTATGGTTGCTGGTATCAATTACTCTTTTTTTTTAATTCCAGAGCTCTGTATACAGAAGACAATTCAAATCAAGAGAAACGTTTCTACTCCGTAGTGTCTCTCGCTTTGTTCTTCTATGCTAAATCAAACGTCACCGATGTGGCGAGGAGTGTGAATAATTCTGCTAATATGGCTAAGCAATATCTGAACAGAACTTCCGATGTGATTGCTGGACCAATGAGAGCTCTTGTGGTCTATCTAAACTCTTTGGTGCAACAGGTAATATGACTTTTTACTTTTAAACATAGAATCCGCGAATGACGCGCTTTCGTTACCAAGTCAATTGTCAGATTGATTAGTGAGGGGACGTAAACGTTGACATTTTTATAAGTATACTGTTGCGGCATACATCGTCACAATGTCGGATTTTATTCTTAATAAAACATATTATTTGTGCATTTAATGTTGCTACTAGCTTTTTAAACTAATCCATTATTAGTGTTAATATGATAGAAATAATTGTCCCATGATTTATTCTAGTTATCGCTCGTGACTGCGTTTGCACAGAATAAAAAAAAACTTAATTAGTAGTCTATGTGTTCTTTCAGACTATGTTCTATGTAAAATTTCATTGCGATCCATTTAGCTATCTGTGAGATACCTTCTAATAAACATCTATCCATCGAAACATTCGCATTTATAATATTAGTAAGATTTAAAGTCAATTTCTTTTTAAATCCAGTCAACAATATTTAACACCGTCACTTTTACATTTTGGATGATAATGAACTTTAAATATTATCTTCGTGTCCTTCAACACATTAACCCTTATTAAGTAATCAAATATCTTAAACATCTATAATGATTATTTACAGCCAATGACAGACGTTAAAGCAAGCTGCAAACCAGAAACTGAACAAGCAGATTGCGATATCAAATTACGTGAAATGCACCAAAAGAACGAACGTAAATGCAAAGGATATTCAAAGAACATCGAATTGTATAATTTGTTGAATGAAGACAAAGATATAGAACCTCGCAAGAGATTCCTCAGGGATTTAAAACGATCGAGCATCGGAAACGATAAAGCAGCAATAACCTGGTTCCGTGCTGCGGGCAACAAACATAAAGAAATATTTAGTTTCATGAGAAAGTTATTCGACAAGTTGTTACGTGTGCACTATCCTTGTAGATATCCTTTGGTTCTTGAAGAGGATTGAAGAAATGTTATTAAATTTTATATCAAGTATTCAAACGTTTTCTTTTAACCTTTACTATATGCAAAAAAATAACCGCTTGCCACAGCTATGTTCCCGTAAAAGTCCTGTCAAAATCGGTTAAATCGTTTTGGAGATTGCCCGAAAGAAATGCGGACTTTGGGATGACAAACAAAAATTTCTAATATTATATTTTCGTTATAAGTAATTACCATGTTCAAGGAATACTTTTTATTTTATTTTACATACAGACATATAAATTTTATGAATTGTGTTTAAATAGATTGTGCAACGCGACCACTTTCTAAAAGACCGGCAACGCATCTGCAGTTCCTCTGGTTGTGAATAACCATATGTCTACGCATCACTTGCATATAACTTCATTAATATTATTCGGAAACCCTATTGGCCGGCGCGCGATGACGTTGGTCATTTGACACCACTACGGTGCGCCACTACTGTTTTTTAATTATTCACTTAACCGATGTTGTTAGCACTTAACGTTGTTACAAAATTGTTAAAATTGATTATTACACGCAAGTAAGCAATAAGAAGAAGTTTTATTTTAAATCCAAACACCATAGTTGGAGAGGATCACTTCTGAGTTTACGCCTCTCTATCGTTCCTTTCCCATAATACTCCAACGTATTAAATTGGTACATCTGATACGATATGACCTCCTTCTAACCACAATAATAGAAGAGGAGAGTAAGGGAAGGGAAGAGATGATTTTTTAATTATTTAAATCATACTAATATTATAAATGCGAATGTTTAGATGTATGTTTGTTTATTTGAAGATATCTCAAGAAAGGCTGAACGGAACACGATGTTTATAATAAGAATACATAGGCTCCTTATTAAGTTTTTTTTAATTCCGCGCGGACAGAGTCGCGGGCGACCGCTTGTTAGTTATAATTCAAATTATGTGAAGAATATTTTGTATGTATCTTTCGTGGTCATTAACAACTTAGTAACTTTTACTTTTCCTCCGACGTTCTTACGGTGAAGGAAAACACCGTGATGCAATGCAATGCATGCAATGCATATCTGAGAAGAAATTCAAAGATATGTGTGAAGTCAACCAACCCGCACTTGGCCAGCGTGGTTGACTATGGCCTAATCACCCTTAACTTAGGGTAGTCTCCGAGCCCCTCGGTGGGGACGTATAGTGAGCTGATGATGATGATGATGAATTTTTAAATAAAACTAGACATAAACCTATTGTTAGATTTAAAAACAAAAATAATAGTTATCACAACAATTTACGTTTATGTCAGTAATGAAAATATCTTGTAATAAATTTTAATTAACTTAATTATTAAAATGTTCACGATTTTAAAAAAACAACAAAGATTTTTTTTTTCATAAGTTTTATAGAACGTCATCTGAAATACTGGCAGCAAGAAAAAGGTTTTTTTGTTAAATACTTTTTACAGTATACCTCATAAAAAGAGGTGTCAAGCCTCAACTTTCTTTAAGATAATTGTTTGATTGAGTTATTTTCACTCTATGTTAAATATTGTTGGCTACACTTTCTTGTCTCTATTTCAGAAATGTCGTACATCAGTGTTGCGGTTGTTATCCTGATGTTAAGTTGGGTTTCCAGTGATCTGATACCAGGTGATATGAACAGTAAATGGCGACCTAACAATGTACTTATGAGTAACATCGATAATTACTACAGGATGTTGTACGTATATTTTAAACTTAAATATTCCAATATTATGGAGTCTTCTTCGGGATCTTGTTGTGTATTAGGTAATTAAGATCAATACGGGTTTGAAATACAGGTTTTAAAAATACAAGTACACATACTCTAGCTTTCGCCAGCGACTCCCTCTGCACGGAATTAAAAAAAAAAGCTTAATTACTAGCCTACATCGGTGCCAAATTTCAACGAGATCCATGAAGTCATTCTTGAGATCCATCCATTCAAACATTCGCATTTATAATATAATACTATTAAGATATATGCAACTTCTTTTAATGCAAGCTTCTTCAAACTCTATCAAAGGAAAGTAGATACACTATGTTTTAAGGTCAAATTTCAATAGTCTTATGTTTTACAGAGCTCTTAAAACTTCTGATGTCGACAATCGTCGGAAGCGTTTCGTATCCGTTATATCTCAAGCCTACATGTACTATGTAGCAAGTGACGAGATGGATAGAGTCAAAAGAGTACAAGAATCGGTTGCTAAAACTAAACAAGATCTGAACAAGCCAACTGACGCTATCGCGGGACAAGCAAGAGCATATTTGATTATTCTTAAAACACCTATTGATCAGGTATTAGATTAAGAAAATCCAAGTTAAATTAGAATAATTAATAATAGAAACAATTTCTTGTCAAGACCTCCCTAATCCTGTACCCCTTTAAGTGAGAACGCACTAGGCTTTAGTTATCCAAATCGAACTATTTTCCATTTAGCTTGAATTAGATTTAATTTAGGATTTAGGACACCACCAGGCACACACCAGGCTTTATATTTAGTCATTTCAGTCATCACAATTTTTTTAATAATGCGACCTTTAAAACAAACCAGCCAACTCATTCTAAGCCTATCCTTACTGATGTACTTTTCCAAATTCATATTTAAAATTCTCATTATCAAATGCAATTCTTCTCACCTCATTAAATGCAGCGTACTTTTTTTTAATCTAATATATTTCCAGCCAATAAACGACATTAAAGCGAGCTGCCCACCAAAAGCTAAACAAAAGGATTGCTTAGAGGCACTCAAGAAATATCACAAAGCAAATAGAGCTAGTTGCAAAGAATACGATAGAAATCTACGTCTATATGACAAATACATAGAATATGTCACAGATCCGGAATTCACTGATTTCGTAACGGATATATTTGCTGTATCAGATAATGGAGATAAAGCTGCATTAGCTTATTTTACATATGTTATGTTAATTGAATATCCAGAAGCGGTAGAAAAAGGAAGAGAAGCGTACAAAATGAGGGCAAATACAACATTTCCTTGCAACGTATACAATCTTCCATTGTTTTAAATTACTGATGATTTATTGGTACTTGTTGATCAATAAATAGTAAAAATTGATGGAGTTTTCTTTTTTTTAACTTAATCTAAAATACCCTTTCATTGAATCCAGCTTTTCTTTGTATCGAGGGAATCTAAAGATTCCTCCTTCTGTTTGTCCTCTGGAAAAACAGAAGTGTGTAAGACTTTACCTACTTAAGCCTTTCTTGAATTCAATCCATCATTCAACTTTTATGGTACTATTAGCCAAATATTTATTCATTTCTTATTTTTATATACGCATTCTCGAGTAACACAGTAAAACAGGGAAAATTAATGGATAGGTTAAGTTAGACATCTCCGAGTCCGAGCAATGGTCATTTTGATTTTCTGGGGACATCCAGTGGCCGCTTGTTCGTTGTTTTCTTTTGCTATAAAAAAAACAAGACATTAGGAAAGACCTATATGTCTTATAATGGACTGAGATTGACTAATGATGTTGATGCAGATGGCATTTAATGAAGTCTGGGCTTGCGACATTGTATAAAATAAGTTTTAACTTAAGTATTAAACTAAGTATAAAGTACCATAATAAATCGGTCGTGAAAGCGCAGCTTATAGCTCGGATGAACTTGAACTTTGATTTGCAATAAAAATATTTTATAGCTACAATAAAATGTGTTCTTTATTCACGTTGTTAAAACTATTAACTTTTTTATTAGAATAAACGTTGTAGTGTTAAAGTTAACCTTTCCTTACCCAGTTAGATACACATAGTGTTTCTTAAAGCAGGTAACTTTGAATTTTCTTTCTTATATTATCGTCTTCTTAACATTATGTAAATGTATGTGAGATCAAATCTACAGTTATCATCTTCTAAATTGTTCCGTCTTTAAAATAAACTTTAACACTTTTATTGCCCGTAACAAAATCTGTTGGTGGCTCTACCTCTAAAATACCACGACCACTTAAAAGACAGGCGTGAAGTGGAAATACCGCGTTTCGTCTGTAGACGAATCTACTTCATTCTACTTTTCATCAGCTCACTCGAAACCTACTTTAAATCAGTGACTAGGCCATAATCAACCACGCAGGCCAGTGTGCTATGACTTTAAATTTCTTCGTAGATGTATGCGGCATCACGATGTTTTCCTTCACCGTAAGAACGTCGGATGAATGTAAATCGGAAATTACGTTGTTTCATGGCGAGCTTTAAACTCAGGACCTGCAGATTGCAAGTTAAACTTGAACCCAATTAAATGTATTATTTTTCTTTTTTATCACAGCAGTATGCGTTTCATTATTATTTGCACCATCTTTGCCTGCGCTGCAGTCAATGCTCTGCTACATTTAGACAAGAATAACAAATGGCGTCGTAACGATGAAGTCTTTAATGTCATGGATCCATTTTACTATGATTTGTAAGTCTAATTATGTTCAATGATTTACGAATATCTAAAACTGTACTTACTGGTCCATAAATATGACTTATACCTACGTTTTTCCAATGAATTATTTTGTACTTTATCTTAAAATTTTTGCGATTTACTGGCAGTCACCTGCGACAGTGTCCGAGCAGAATTAAAAGAAAAATTGTTTAGTGTGTGTTCTTCCAAACGTTTTTTCAAAACATCTATGTTCTGGAGACTCCTAACATACATTCTAACTTTCGCATTTAAAATATTAGTAAGATGTAAAGGATTCATTTAAAAGACAATAAAAATTTTAGGTCCCTGGAATCAGGCGATTTATTAGATCCAAGGAAACGTTTCTCTTCTATCGTCACTTTAGCCATCTCAGTATACCTGAAAAGCAATGAAACGGACCATGAGAAACGCGTCAAAGAATCTGTCAGAAGAACTAGAAATGAGCTTGATAAACCTTCGGACGCTATTAGTGGTACAATGCGAGCTATCCTTACTCAACTAAGAGGTATTATTGATAAGGTAAGATAAGTCCTAATTGATTTTAAACACTCTGTTTTGTACATTATTCTTCTTCTTGAGGTGCGTCAGGACTAACGAAGGTTGGTGATCAGTTCTCCAAATTTTCTTTTGTCTCTTGCGAGGCAAAACAGTTGGGCGACATTCGCAGTTCCCGTCCACTTCCGAATGTTGCGCAACCAGGATTTCTTTCTGTTACCAACACTCCTTTTATTCATAAATCAATTATTTTGGGGCATACATTGAAAATGAAAATGAAAAAGGATTTATTGTTTAAACAAAAATGATACATACTAACATTTGTGCCGGGACTTCCATTTGAGCATTCATAACGGGCTTGTGATTGGAAGTCCCGCTCTTCCGTGTCACATAAACAATATCAATGGTACCTTTTTAATCTATATATTATATAAAGACAATTATTCTTTAACAAACAAAAGAAAATACAAAGAGTTTATTAAAATGTAAAAATAAAAATGACAATAAACTAATTATTAATTTCTAAATTAAAAAGTAAAAATGAACAGAAATGATAGAAAATAACAGAAAAACACTTTTGTGTAATTTAATGTGTGTGCAATACAGGTCTATTGATTGTATGAATGTGTGTATTTGTGTGTATGTATGTATGAGCGTGTATATATATGAGTGCATGAAACATTACAGTAATAAATTACAACAATTATATATGTATTATGGTTATACTAAGTTGATTTGAAACTCAAAAGTAAAGGGACTGAATATTAAGAATATTGTGTCATCAAAATATGTCGAGAATTTTAAAGCATTGGTCAAATATTAGACTATTTTTGCTCTCTCTCAATAGAAATAGGAAAAGGAGGTCTCATCTCAAGTGAGTAGGAATCCAAAATAAACCTATACCTTACAAAGTCATGCATAAAAAGAAAATAAAGTTAATTTTCAATTATATTCCAGCCAATCAACGACGTAAAAATAAGTTGTCCTCCCGATGCTGACCAGAAGTCTTGTGACGAAAGACTGAGGATGTCACATGACAAGAACGAAGCAACTTGTCGAGGTTATATAAAAAATGTTGATATGTACGAGAGAGTAATTAAACTGATACATAGTAAAAGAGTAGAAGAATTGAGGGATGAAATAAATAGAAATTGGAGAGTTAGTGACGATGATGCTTTGAAATACTTCGCTAGATCAGCAGGTGGTAGACATTCTAAACTTATGAAGGAATTTAAAGAGCTGTATGAAATACAATCTCGTGAATCTTTCAATTGTAATATATTGAATTTACCAATCTTCTGAATTAAAGTGTTGATTTAATTAAATTTGTCTTTTTATTCACATCGAATAAGAGAAATATTAAGACAATGCTTTGTACTCTACTCTTAATATTTTTCTTATGAAAAGCGGCTGAAAATGTAAAAGCATGCAAATACAGGGGTCTAGGCTCCGAATATCATTTTGTCCCAGTCGGCGTCGAGACCCTTGGTCCGTCATCTCGGTCAAAGAATTAGTTTAGCTGTCCAAAGGGGGAACGCTGCCAGTATTTTCGGGACCTTGTTCTCCTCCTTGGACTCCTTTTAATCACATATTTTAGTGAATTTTTCGTTTTTTTTTTTAATATTTGATTTTATTTCATAGATTTAAACTATATGTAATTCTAGAAATAAGGTTTATACTAAATTTCTTTTCAATATTAGTAATTCGTAAGACGTAAAGAGTAAGATGAACATTGCATTAAAATCATGCTTTGTACTCGTAATAGTTGTCGAATGACGAATTGCATATCCGACCTCTTTGGTATACAAGGAGTTAGCATTCTACCAAAGAATTGGCATACTGGCCACTGAGAACCTTTGCCTTTTTAATAAAGAAAAATATAGTTATTTAAAAATATATGAACTGTGGGGGATATCGACGAGTCAATTTCCATACTCGTGTGCAGCTTTGCCGTACTGACGTTACCAGATCTACCTAATATAATTTATGTTATTCATATGAGTATGTAGTTACTCGTATTTATTTGTGAAGATTGCATTATCAAAGCCTACACATATTTCAATAATTATGATTTCTGGTAATGACTAATATCAGCGGACGATAAAATGTGTTGAAGCTAAGAAAATGAAACACTAAGTTTTTATGGTATGGACCCATAAAATATAAATTCATTTTAATGAAAACAATTCAAACATTTGCATAACTATGTCATAAGTATCATTGGGAAATTGCAAGGAAAATAATCTTGAAGCATCATCTTGTAAACCTCATTCATATCACAGAAAAAGTCCTTGTAAGTTCTTGTCGCTGCCTTCTCAAAGAACGAAAGAGCTTGTTCATCGCTGCCTCGTCTATGTCTTAAAAGATGCTTCATGAATCTAGCACGGTTGCTAGCCTGTTGACTGCTCGTCAGTATGTCGTATAATTCAACATTCTTGTAGTATCCATAACAATAATCTTCTCCATAATTATGAGTTTTATTCAGATTCATATCGCATTCAGATTGCGCTGTGTTTGGTAGACAGGATGCTTTGACATCTGTTAATGGCTGGAAAAAATTAAAATATTTAGTATTTTCTTCGCATATGCTTAATAAAGCTGTAGATAAGCGTCAATAGCCTAATGGTTAAGAGTACGGATTTCCGACCAAGAGGTCGGGGGTTCGAATCCCGCCATTCGACTATTGTCGTAAACCATATCCTAGCACAAACATACAGCTTAGTTGGAATGGTTAAAGAAATATTAGTAAATTTACAAAAAAAATCTGCTAATATTTTTACTAAAAAAAAAAGATGCAATTACTAAAGACTTTCTTCTTTTCTAATATTAAAAGACTGAATGGAAACTATGAATTAAATACTTCTATCTCTTTATCAGGACGCACTGTCTGTTTCAACTAATCCATTTACGATACAGCTCCTACAACTTAGTAGTTATTCTAACATCATCATCGTTATCATGCTGTGCTTTTCCCTTTAGAGGGTTGGCAGCATAATATACCACTTTCCATACATCTCTATGAGCCGTCATATCTTATTTCACTACTTTCTTACGCATGTCCTCTACATAAAATGTCATATCATCCCGGATTTATTACATAATTCAAATTAATATATCTTATTAATATTATAAATGCGAATTTTTAAATATGGATGGATAGATGTTTGTTAGAAGTTTTCTTCAAAACGGCTCAACGGATCTTGATAAAATTTTGTACAAATGTAGAACGTAGTCTGGAACATAGGCTACTTATTAAGTTTTTTAAAAAACACGCGGACAGAGGCGGGTGACAATTAAACGTAGGATAAAGAAAGAAAGTTCTAGAATCTCACCTGTTGTATGACTGACTGGAGTAAGATCAATAGAGATCTCATAGGCGATGCTATCACATCAGCAGGTTGGTCCAGCTGTTCTCTGGTCTTTTCCACTGCATCTTTAGCGCGTTCTACGTCATCGATTACGTCACTTGTCACATACATGTACATTGCGAGAGATATGACAGAAAAGAAACGCTTGTGCGGATCACCATCCTCCTCGATGTAGACTGCTCTAGAGAGTAGAAACAATTGGTTCTAATAATATTTAGGTCTAACATTAATCATTAAAGTTTAAGGGTACGATTTAGGGTGGGAGCGTGGTCTTTAAAATACTACGGTCAGTCACAGAAGCAGGGGGAAGTGGCTCAGGTTTTTGTCACGTAGTTGTTAGTTTTTCTTTTTCATAATATATAAATCACTTGCAATTTAAGTATGCAGTCTTATACAATAAAGACGAGTATGAGCCAAATTATTTTTTTTTCAATTTTTGCCCGTGAACTGATTAAAAATAATTATGAATTACTACGTAGAAACTTAAGTTACGTAGAAACTTAACTTAAGGGGTTTCTTGGCATATACTACGACTGGTCACCGAAGGAAGGGAGCGGTCGTAAAAACTAAAAAAATAGGTCACGTAGTATGTGTATGTTCCCTTATTTTATGTTTAAGCTAAAATATACTTACAATTTACTGTAATAATCGTCAATTTCATTCATAAGTACATCACTGTTACGCCATTTATCATTAGAACTCTTCATCTCCACGCCATGACACAACAGTACTGCCAACACGACGATAAACATTCTGAAATACAACAAAATATGTTTTATTAGAGCCATATATGAATTGTTTAGACAAATATAACGTGTTTAATGATTTAATACTTGAATTATTTTGTAAAGAAGTTTATTGCATATAAAAATATATATTGCATTTTATTAACGACTTTATCGTGTGATTTTAATCACCTATATGTACATATGTGTTATATAATATTTTTTACATAAACATTGATACATAAAAATGTTAATATAACTTATTGTGCTTTCAAAGATAGACAGAGATGACAAAATGTTTATACAGCTGACACCCGCGAATTCTTCCGCGAGGAATTAAAAAAAAATAATAAGTAGTTTATGTATTCGAAACTAAGTTCCACATTTGTAGCGAATTTCATAAATATCCGATGAGCCGTTCCAGAGATACCTTCAAACAAACATCCATCTAAACATTCGCATTTATAATATTAGTAAGATTTGTCTCAGAAACCATCGGTTAGTATGCAATAAATTCAACATTTCTCAAACATATTTTCTTAAGTCATATTTTAGTTATTTTACATCGTCTTATTTATAACAAATCACCCTTTACTTTTCGCAAATATAACTGTACTGGATGTCGCCAGCAACTCCGTCTGCGCGGAATTAAAAAATAGTAGCCTATATGTTTTTCCAGACTATGTTCTATATGTATACCAAATTTCATCGAGATCCGTTTAACTATTCTGGAGATACATTCAAACAAACATACATACATCTAAACATTCGCATTTATAATATTAGTAAGATATTAAAACAGCAATGTTTTTTTTCTAAACATCGGCACTTCATTAGACATTATTATCCGTGGTCTGTTGACACGCGTCAAATTCACTACGGTAGCGGTTCCCACGTACCCCTCTGTCAGGATTCGTCACGGATCCTGCAGGAATTGCTTGTTCCTATAGATTTTAATATTGGTAGAGTATGCTCTACTTTGAGTTAGTAAATATTTTAATAATCTTGAAAAAACAAAAAACTAATTACTTTATACACATCTAATCTAACTTATATTATAAATGCGAATGTTTGGATGGATGGATGTATGAAGGTTCCACGACGGTTCGATGGATCTCGCTGAAATTTGGCATACATGTAGAACATAGTCTGGAAGAACACATAGGCTACTTACTAAGTTTTTTCTTAATTAGCAGCTAGTATTATAGTAAATGCAAATGTATGGATGGATGGATTTTTGTTTGAAGGTATCTCCAAAACACCTAAATGTAGCAGCAAGATGTAGAATATAGTCTGGAAGAACACATTATTTTATTATTTTATTTAATTCCACGCGGACGGAGTCGCGGGCAAGACTTTGTAACTTATAAAAATACAAAAAGACTATGTAGAAACTATTTAATAGGTGTAATTTATTAAAGATATTTTATTGTTAAATCTATTATTGTAGGATAATTATTTGTAGACGAAAACATAGAAAGCTGTACTTATATCTTTGTTATAAATGGTATTGATAACCGTCTGTATGTCTGTACACAATTATTCTATAAGATTATTGAAGACAATGCCTTTATCAAAAAAAAACCTTCCGCGAAATGAAATATAGATAGAATATTTTAATAAGAATGATGGTTTTAAAATAACTGTATTCTATTATAAAACATGTATTTAAATACTAGCTGTTGCCCGCGACTCTGTCCACTAATCAATAATAATAAAAAAAAAACTTAAAAATTAATCTATCTGTTCTTAAAGATGTTCTTCATCTATGCCAGATTTTAGCGAGATTCGTTCAGCTGTAGATATTTTCAAACATCCATCCATCCATTAGTCCATCCAAAGAAAACAGATATTGATAGACAATATTACGAAGTAGAGCAACATTTAGTCTACTTGATTTCAATAGGGTTATCATACAATATGGTGTACAATTATGTTCACACGCGTAATGATATGAGTGTAAAGGTTACGGTTGAATTGAGAGAAAAATCTAGGTGTTTTTGTAGGGGTAGACAAATTAATCTTGAAAATATAATAATAAACTTTAGAAGGAGCGTCGGTGGCTCAGTGGTCAAGCACTTGATTTGCAATCTGCAGGTCCTGGGTCCAAATCCCGTCATGTACCAATGTGTTTTGTGATTTCCGATTTACATATGTACATTTATCCGACGTTCTTACGGTGAAGGAAAACATCGTCATGCAACCTGCACATATCTGAGAAGAAATTCAAAGGTATGTGTGAAGTCAACCAACCCGCACTTTGCCAGCGTGGTTAACTATGGCCTAATCACCCTTAACTTAGGGTAGGCTCCGAGGCCCTCGGTGGGGACGTATAGTGAGCTGATGATGATGATGATGAAACTTTAGAAACAATTATTCAGGTGAAACTGGTTTACTACTTGATTTTAATTAATTAAGCACCACTTAAACTAAATCTACATTAAGGCTCTACAGAAGGCAACGTAAATCTTTGAAACACGGCGATTTTAGTCGTTAAGCGACTTACAATTTTATAGATATTCACAAACAGCGCGCATCGCCGACATCTGACATCGTCAAAGTCAATCGCTCGCGCATGATTTTCAAGATCGTCGTGGGAAGTCATTGGAATTTTCAAGATGGCGGAGCAAAGATATACAGTTGACATGTATTCGCTACACGTGTACGGAGCGCGTGCAATGGGATTCTTTAGTCGCGACCATATTACGATGGACGAATTAGGTTATCACGTGTACAAAGGGCCGTTAACTAATCAGTTGTTTAGTGTACATTTGCCGTACTTATCTACCCAAATGGACACACAATAACCGAAGACATGAATCCAAGAGTTAGAGATGGATGGATGTTTGAAGATATCTCCAGAACAGCTGCATTGATCTTGCTGAAATTTGGCATAGATGTAGAACATAGTCTGGAATAATACACAGGGTACTGCACCGTTATTTCTAATGCCGCGGGCAACAACTAATACATTTATAAATGAAGAAAACCATATTAAAAATTACATTTTATTTCATCTAAAAGACGTATAGCGGTGTACTAATATTATTACAATCAAGGCTACCATCGTTTTGCAAATCAGTTATGAATTGGTACAATTTGGCTCTCAATTGAAGAGAATATCTTGCAGACTCCTTCGTTTCTGATAACGTCTTCTGGACAAATTCAAATACCTTCAACACTTGGGATACGTCTTTAGGACTTTTCTTTTTATTCTTTACATGACTCAAAGCTTTTTTAATAGGATCTCCAATAGACAAAGTCTGTGCCCGATTATATTCCAGCATTGTTTCCAACACTAAAGAGTGATACCAAATGTTAGGGCAGGATTCCGCTGCAGCAATCAATTTGGATAGATAAGCTATGTTACATTGCCATACTGGCATATCTTTTTTACAGCTGGTCTGGATCATTTCTATAGGCTGGAAAAGTAATGATTTTAGTTATAAAAACAATTGAGCATCTGAGTATGAAGTACAGAGTTGTTTATGATGAATAAGAGCGGCCCTTAGTGTAGATTTGTGTAGTGAAAGTAAATTATAAAATTGATGATATGCATACAAAGTTGATTTTAATAATACTAATGTACTAGTTTAAATAATAGATTTAGTAATGACAACTCCAATTGCTATAATAAAAAGCTTAAAACAGCTTGAGTTTATACGCCAATTGGGAGAAAAACGAAGCAAAAATTGTCAATTTCAACTATCTTGCTAATATTATAAACGCGAATGTTTATATGGATGCATGGATGGATGTTTGTTTGAAGGTATCTCCAGAACAGCTGAACGGATCTCGATGAAATTTAGTATACATATAGAACATAGTCTGAAAAAACACATAGCCTACTAATTACGTGTTTTCAAAATTCCGCGCGAACAGAGTTGCGGGTGACTGCTAGTTTATTCATAAAAATCTGTCCTGCGAGTTTCACCTGCAGTGACTCTTTTAATGACTATACGTCATCTCTTTCATTCTCCTTGCAACAAACAGAGACAACATGTCTGCAGTCGAAATCTACAATAATATTGGCACAAAACAAAAAATGAATAAAAGTATAAAACACTCACGCCTCCAATTACGCTTTTAATCAAATCTGCAATCCGTCTGACAGGAGCGGCCATTTTTACTGCATTAAAATGTTTCCTCGATGCGAACAAGAACATAGCCAAATCATAAGCCTTGTTATATTTATCTATTTCAGTGCTATTATCTGACTGTAAGTGTACCAAGTTGTAATAGATCTTGTTAAATTCAAGATAGAAATTTTCTATAGCTGATTTGATATATTTCTCCCAATCATCATTGTCTTCTGCGACTTCAGCTCTAAAAACAAAAAATCCTGCCACTTAGAGAAATAATAAGATCGATACCACACACATTATTATGTTAATTCAAGATAAAATATAATCCAAGTTGCAGCCTATAGTATAATTGTTTATTTTTTATAACAGAAGGGGGCAAACGAGCAGCGGGAACACCGAGGTGTTCAACGACGCCCATGGACATCAGCAATACCAGAGGAACCGCAGATGAGGTACCGGCCTTTGAGGTGGTGATAAGCTCGCTTCTTGAAGGACCCTAAGTAGTAGCGGTTTGGAAATACCGCCGAGGACAGACCATTCCACAACGCTGCTGTGCGAGGCAGGAAGTTTCGCGCAAACCGCACGGTTGTGGATTGCCAGCCATCGAGATGGTGTGGATGGAACCTGGCGGTCTGTCGTGTCCTTCGATGACGGAACTCGGCGGCAGAAATCGTTGGAATCGAATTGTTTTGTCTATAACAAAATGGATGGATGTTTCTTTGAAGATATTTCCAGAACTGTTAAACTGATCTCCACGGTATTTGGCACACATATAGAACACAGTCTGGTAGAACACATAGGCTTATGTTTTTTTTAATTCCGCGTAGACGGAGTCGCGGGCGACAGCTAGTTAAAATATATATTAGATTTGGTTACCTAAAATTACTTAATTTATACTTACAAAGCTTCATAATCTTCTTTAAAAATGGTCAAGAATATGTCCGTATTTACGAGCAAATCAAAATCTCTTTCAGACATCACTTTCTTAGTGTAATTAACTAAATCTTTTATAAAACCTTTATTATTTAATATGTCTAATGCTGTAGTTTTTTTGCCCGATTTTTTTTCGTCTGGAATATTATTTCCTTTGTTGTTTCCTTTTGAATGTCCACTATCGTTCTTTCCACCTTTTGAAGAATCCTTTGTGTTTTTGTTTTTATCGTTACCTTCCTTTTCGGATTTTCCACTGCTCTTATTATTATAGTCTTTGTCATTTACATGTTCTTTTGTGGAATTTTTAAGATTTTGATGAGTTTCATTAGATTTTGATGTTTTATTATCTGAGCTGGATGATTGATTTTTGTTATTCTTTGATGACTGATTCTTGTCACTTCCAGAGCTGGAAGACTTTGATGACTGATTTTTGTCATTTCCTGAGCTTGATGAATTTGAAGACTGATTTTTGTCATTTCCAGAGCTGGAAGACTTTGAAGATTGATTTTTGTCGTTTCCAGAGCTGGAAGACTTTGATGACTGATTTTTGTCATTTCCTGAGCTTGATGAATTTGAAGACTGATTTTTGTCATTTCCAGAGCTGGAAGACTTTGATGACTGGTTTTTGTCACTTCCTGAGCTGGAAGACTGCTTTTTGTCATTTTCAGAGCTGGACGACTTTGATGACTGATTTTTGTCACTTCCAGAGCTGGAAGACTTCGATGACTGGTTTTTGTCACTTCCAGAGCCGGAAGACTTTGAAGACTGATTTTTGTCATTTCCTGAGTTTGATGAATTTGAAGACTGGCTTTTGTCACTTCCCGAGCTGGCAGACTTTGAAGACTGATTTTTGTCACTGCCAGAGCTGGAAGACTTTGAAGACTGATTTTTGTCATTTCCTGAGCTTGAGGAATTTGAAGACTGGCTTTTATCACTTGTAGAGCCGGAAGACTTTGTAGATTGATTTTTGTCACTTCCAGAGCCGGAAGACTTTGATGACTGATTTTTGTCACTTCCTGAGCTGGAAGACTGATTTTTGTCATTTCCTGAGCTTGATGAATTTGAAGACTGGTTTTTGTCATTTCCTGAGCTTGATGAATTTGATGATTGATTTTTGTCATTTCCAGCGCTGGACGACTTTGAAGACTGATTTTTGGCACTCCCAGAGTCGGAAGACTTAGATGACTGGTTTTTGTCACTTCCTGAGCTGGAAGATTGCTTTTTGCCATTTCCCGAGCTGGACGACGTTGAAGACTGATTTTTGTTATTTCCTGAGCTTGAGGAATTTGAAGACTGGCTTTTGTCACTTGAAGAGCCGGAAGACTTTGAAGATTGATTTTTGTCACCTCCAGAGCCGGAAGACTTTGATGACTGGTTTTTGTCACTTCCTGAGCTGGAAGACTGATTTTTGTCATTTCCTGAGCTTGATGAATTTGAAGACTGGTTTTTGTCACTTCCTGAGCTGGATGAATTTGAAGACTGGTTTTTGTCACTTCCTGAGCTGGAAGACTGGTTTTTGTCACTTCCCGAGCTGGATGAACTAGAAGATTGATTTTTGTCATTTCCTGAGCTTGATGAATTTGAAGATTGATTTTTGTCATTTCCTGAGCTAGAAGACTGGTTTTTGTCACTTCCCGAGCTGGATGAACTAGAAGATTGATTTTTGTCATTTCCTGAGCTTGATGAATTTGAAGACTGGTTTTTGTCACTTCCCGAGCTGGATGAATTTGATGACTGATTTTTGTCACTACCCGAGGTTGAATTGGATGAGTTCGAAGATTCATTTTTATTGTTCACTTTTGATGATTGACTGTCATCATTTTTATTATTCTTTGAATTTTTCGATTGTTTATTAGCTCTCCTAGTGAATATGTCGTCTGTTTCTTCATCATCAAATTGAGCAGCATCGAGGGCTTGTCTTAATTTTTCTAGTACTTCCACAACAGTTGCTGCATCGAACTCGGTCCCCTTTCCTTTTGTTTTACGTCTACTTGGAGATAAAGTATCAATATCAACTAAATTTAAATGGCCACCACCAACAACGCCGTTGAAATTTGGCAAAACATCTGATGTTAGAAGATTGTCAGTAGACTGAAATGGGAGACCTGATACTTCATAGTCCACATTAGCAAGGATAACTATCAAAAGTGCCAAATGTTTGCCAAACATTTTTACTGAAAAAAAAACAATAAAAAATTAAACGTAAATTAAAAAAAATCTTTGTTACAGTATAATTTTTTTATTAATAAGCAATTAAATGCGTTTTTTTTACATTTAATATCTCAATTAAAATAATTTCGGACTAGTGTACTCACCCAAAAATGTACCATGTTAGTGAGAGATTATAAAATAGAATTTCCTTATTTTTGTATTACCTATTATAAAGTCTGAAATCGATTTAAAAAGAGAAATCGATATTGCGTAAATAATTGCTAATTTAATATTTTATTCAAATGATTTTTCTATTTGTTACGTCATCACGGTACATAGCTGACGTATCTAGAAAATAAGAAAAAAAAAGATCCAATAAGTACCCAATTTCTACGTGTTTATTTAGAGTTATAGTATTTTTCCAACAATTTGGCTGCTTGGAACTTCGTACGTATCCCAGCGCGTGGCGCACGGTAACGTGGTGTAAAGAGGGCAATGCGCTGCGCGCATATGACCTAGAGCTACCAAGATATTTGAATATACTTATACTTTATACACTAAGTAAAAACCTGACAACTAGAAAAGACATCGTAAATAATTTCTAATAACTAATTGTTCCCCAACTAATTTTTCATATGTTATTATATTATATTAAAATATCTTTCGAAACATTCAGTTTGTTCCTTTATTTCTTATTCATCATCATCATCATCAGCTCACTATACGTCCCCACCGCGGGGCTCTGAGCCTACCCTAAGTTAAGGGTGATTATTATTTCTTATTATTCCTGGCTAAATAACGCATATTTATCTCATCTTTATTATTATGCAACTTATCTATTTTAAATATAAATTAACAAAGGTGACATTTTTTAGCGTTAGTTTAATTTCAAATACGGGGAAATATTTAACTACTAACAATGTACTTCAACAAGATTCGAATCGAAACTCTTAGATTTGTAATCTTACCAACTAACCGAAAACCATATGGATATTATTGCGTACAAATTGTTTAATTTGTAAATATATAGACCGTGAAACTTACAGCTGGAACATGACGAATTGATTTTAATTACGTAGATGTACGTACGAAAAATGCTTTCGTCTCTTGTTAAGTTTGTAACATGCAATAAGACCAATCGACTAATTATATCTGACATTTGTTATGTAAGATGAAATAGAAATCGCTTGTGTTCTTTGGATAGTCTTTTTAATAAGGTTTTATAAATTGAATACGACATGCACAATACGATGCGATAAGATGATTTTGTTTTCATAGCCTTCTGTTTCGGTTTTTATTATAATTTTTTTTTATGTATCATAAGGTGGCAAAAGAGCGAGCGGCCACCTGAAGTCGCTGATATAGCGAAGTGACCGTTGCCCATAGACATACGCTATTGCATATGCGTTGCCTAACTCTAATCGACGGAGGAGAGGATGCACTTAAAGAAAATATATTCCCTTTCCATGCATCCTCTCATCCGGAAAGTCCACTTCCACTTCCCATCCTTTCCTTATAAGAAAAAGGGTGGGAAGGGAAAGGGGAGGACATAATTTTAAACTACAACCTTAAAAGTTTATTTAGCAAAATATGGTTAGAAAGGACAGGTTCCTACTATGATATTTTATTAGTAAATTACATAGTTTTTAAGCCAAAAAATTTATTCAATAATATCTGGAAACAGAAGATATTTTTATTTAAAGACTGAAAGAGCTAAAAAGATTTTTCAATTTCTTAAGAAAGCGAGGACCTTGTGACAAAATATTATTATCATCACTACCATCATCATCATCGTCATTATCATTGCTAAATAAATTGAAGACACGATGAAATGCTTCCTTTATACGACGAGGTAACGACAATAGACCATTTTCATCATCACTCTTGCTTTTTTCCGTGTCTTTCGACTTTTTAGACGAATTATCATCAGAGCTATCGCCTTTTGAGTTACTATCAGATTTTGAACTCTGATTACCGGAACTATCAGAACTTGAACCAGTTTTTCCTGAACTGTTACTTTCTCTTCGACCGCTGTTTACACTTGAGTCACTCTGATTTGTAGAGTCCTTATTGCTTTGGTTGGATGGACTTGATCTACTTGAAGTCTGCGCATTAGTAATCGGAGATCTTTCTACTCTTTGTATACCTTGGTCTCCATCTAATGTTTTAAGTGTATCTGACAGATCGCCGGGAAAACTGTCCTGTTTAGTTATTCCTCTAACAGCAGCATCTAATTCTGTATTTGTCAGTAAGTCGTCAGGAAAAAGGTTTTCATTTGGTTCCTTTGGGAATGCATTGCATTTTGCAATAAAAGAAACGATTACAAGAAACAGCAAATGTAATATAGTCATATTGAACTGAAACAAATATAAAAAAAAAAACAAATTATTTATTTTACTATTATTTAACAAAAAAAATTGTGATAAATTTTTATTAAATTTTAAAACAAAATTATATTTTTTTATATCAAAAAAATTAACTGCAATTTAATAAACATGCAATGAATACAGTAATGTGTACTTACCCGGTACAAACTTACAATATAAGTAAACGAATTTAATCACGAAAATTCAAATTTTTCCTTATTTTACACATTGATATGCGTAAAATCAAATAATAAATTCATTAAAAATTAGTTTAAATTCAAAAATAATGAAAACAATTTTTTTACACGAGCTGTCGCCCGCGACTCTATCCGCGCGGAATTTAAAAAAAACTTAATAAGTAGCCTATGCGTTCTTCCACACTATGTTCTACATCCATGCCAAATTTAATAGTGATCCGTTGAACGGTTCTGGAGATACCTTCAAAAAATATCTATGCATCCATCCAAACATTCGCATTTATAATATTAGTAATATTAAGATACGTGCCGTCCACACTCAAAATCACTAAGTGCAGATAAAGCTAGCAAAAACATTTGTGGTACAAAATGGGCGGTTCAACCATTTCAGCGGTGTTTCAATGCCAAGGACACACACACAGGCGTGAAGTAGAAGCAATTCCGTGTTTCGTATGATGAGTGTGCGTGCTGGAGGCTTTATTTTAAAATTAACTACATACATAACTAAACTACTTCTATGCATGCTTACAGTGAACTGACAATCTCAATTAACTTGTAGACAGAACATTTTGTTTATAAACCACTTTTAGCATCGAAAAGTTGACTAATATTGGATTAACTAACTCAATATGAACTGAAACCACTGTGCATATCTCTTTACAATGGACCTATGTATTACCTGACGTAGCTCGGACCTTTTTTTTATATCATAAGGTGACAAACGAGCGAGCGGCCACCTGAAATCGCTGAAATAGCGAAGTGACCGTTGTCCATAGACATACGCAATTGTATACTCATTGCCTACCTTTAATCGACGGAGGTGGGGATGCACAGAAAGAAAATATTTTCCCTTTCCATGCATCCTCTCATCCAGAAAGTCCACTTCCACTTCGCATCCTTTCCTTATAAGAAAAATGGTAGGAAGGGAAAGAGGACTCAATTAGGCCTCCGGGACAGACACTCATCAGACTGTAGTTGGAATTGCTTCCACTTGACGCCTGTCTTCTGTCTAGTCGTGGTATTTCACCGGACAAGTCGGGCAAATTCGTGCGAAGATGTTAAAACGGACTCTATCGCTGGAAAAATAATGAGTTCAAACATCATTAATTTATTAATTAACTGCCGCACAAAATTGTTATTAAAATGTAGGTCTTAGATTTAAAACTATAATATAAACTTTAATCAGTTGCAAAACAAAAATTAGAATCTCTATGGTTATCATTCAATAAATTAGTCATAGACAAGAAATTATTTTATTAATTTGCTACATCACATTAGAGCTTAGAATGTAATGTCATATGTTACAGCCGTATATAATTGTAACGTACTATAAAACAACGTAAATCGCGATTAATTTTATTCCAAGTCAAAGACTGTAGGTGAATATGTAAGTAAAATTTTAATATTCTATCACATCATCATCATCATCAGCTCACTATACGTCCCCACCGAGGGACTCGGAATTTACCCTAAGTTAGGGGTGATTAGGCCGTAGTCAACCACGCTGGCCCAGTACGTGTTGGTTGACTTCACACATATCTTTAAATTTCTTCTCATATATGTGCAGGTTGCATCACGATGTTTTCCTTCACCGTAAGAACGTCGGATAAATGTACATATATAAAATCGATAAACATATTGGTACGTGGCGGGATTCGAACCCAGCACTTGCAAATTGAAAATCAAATGCTTGACCCGTGAGCCACCGACGCACTAACTTCTTGTTACTTCATAATTAACTTCAAAAAATGATAGTCATCTTACTAATATTGTAAATGCGAATATTTGTTAGAAGTAATCTCCAGAACGGCAGCATAGATTTAAAAACCATTTTTCTTACAGATATGATGTCTCCTACAATTCTTTGGCTATTCTATTGCTTCGCTGTGCCGAACGTCCGCAGCGATGTAGAACTAGCCGGAGCAGCTTTGAAATCGGACAAATCTATTGAAAACAATGCTAATAGCGACGTGGCAGATAACAAAAGTGATCTGACTAGACTCAACAGTGACTCTAACTTAGCCGTACCGGATGCAAACCTTAATCTAGGAGCTTCAGATTCAGCTAACAGATTATCTAGACAGAATGAACAGGATTCCAGTGCTGCCAGTGAAAACAGCCATGATAATTTGAGAAATTTAAGATTAAATTCGAATGGCGTTGATGTTTATGATTTCACAAGCCGTGCAAATAATTTAGGACATCCATCATTAAATGATTTAAATGGGGTTTTAAGTGGACTCGAAGCTTTACATAAAGCAAATGCGGTTAGGAATGGTAGACTAAATGTTGTGACACGAAGCGGACTTAATGATCAGAATCAAGTCAATCTTCTTGATGGCAGTCAACTATCAACTTTGATAGCACTTAATAGACACGGAGTTGGTGAAAATGGCGTCAACGGTTTAAGTGGATGGAATATATTAGAGAAAAATGGTTTAACTAACTCTAAAGGTTTGAATGCACTTGAAAATGTAATCGTACAAAGATCAGCTGCATTACGTGAGATAAACAGCGATAAAGTACATGCTGTTAACAATGTTAATGATTTGAATGGAGATAAAGAAAATTTACTATCTACTGTGAATCGATGGGCTGTACTTTCTAAACACCATGTAGGAGATCTAAATAACCAAGAACAACATTTAGATGGTAAACTAGCAGTGAATGAAGTAAATGGTCAATCAGACACCAATGATCTCAGTAAAAGTGGCATAAGTCGTGTTCACCACAGATCAGATAATGTACACAGCTTGGATGGTTTAAGTCATCGTAATTTAGGACTGGTTAATAATAACGACAATTTGGTTAAACTACGACTGAGTGAAGCTAACAACGACGCAAATGGTATTACCAGCCTTGGTGTACACAATAATCTTCATTCGAGTAACTTGGACGATAGTTTAAATTTGGAACATCAAAATAATTTGCTAAACCGTATCCATAATCATGCGGATGACGTAAATGTATTAGGAAGTGCAAACCTTTTAACCGAAATTAGCAGAAGTGGTTTAGGTGCAGCTAATTTGAATAACCGAAAAGTTAGTCTCAACGCGTTAAAAGAAGCAATCAAACTTGGATTACAACAACCTGTACTTTTAGATAGATCCATATTGATAGGAAGAAGTGGCAATGGATTGAATGAGGAAGATTTATTAGCTGCAGCAGATCATCATAATGAAGGAAAGTTGAATGCACTAAGTGCACTTATTAGTTTAAGCGATAATAACAACAATTTAAGAAGCGCTTTAAATAATTTAGCCAATCTAAATGGTTTAAGTAGATCTGGCGAAAGTAATGTGAATGGAATTGGCTTAGTAGAAGGCTCTAACATTCACCGCAATTCTAATGAATTAACTGGCAGCAGTAGTTTGCATGCCAGTAATGTAAATAGTTTGAAATCCAGCCAACCTACTTCACTGGTCAAGTCGGTAAGCCTCAATAGCCTTGGTGTCAACGTTGATGGAGAATCTGGTCTAAATTCTCTTAACACTGCCGAAACATTAAACAGAGAACATGAAAACTTATCAAATGTAGAAAATAATTTAGATTCAGAAGGAACAGTACAAAGCAGATTGCCTGCAGTCGAAATTGAATTGGACAATCATAATAGAAGATACATAGGCAACAGGTTGGGAAACATGGGATTAGGCCACAGTAAAAGTTGGGGTCAAAATCAGCCAATACATTCCCCGTATGATTTACCAAAAAATGTACTACCCTATTCAACACATAACAGACCTGTAGTAACTCAACCTTATAGACAGCAAGGATGGTATCAATCTTATCACCCCACCACTTATATCCCCTACGCCTTAAAAGGACGAAGTGGATTGAATGATGAGGTACCTTTAAACAATGATGTAATCGATCTTTCAACTTTATTGCTATATATTAACAATTTAAATAACGTTGATGGTTCATCTAACAAGCTAGTAGATTTAACAGATTACGACATCGATAATTTATTACGTTTATTTAAAAAAAGCGAGCTCAATGGAATATCAATTGGTAAAAATGAACTGAGAAATGATGTTGAAGGTAATTCTCATAATATTGCTTCGGAACTCGATGCTATTAATCTCAGCGAATTAAATAACATGAACAATCGAAGAATCTTAAACAACATATTAAGAAGATTTCATTCGAACGTAGATAATGTAAACGTTGCCAACAATGATTTACTAAATCTGAATGCTGACGTTCAACACGGTCTACACAAATTAGTTGGAGTAGATTCTTTGACAGTCAAATCAAATAACAATGACCTTGAAGAAGCAGTCAAAGAAGTTTTAAGATCACACAACGTCAATGAGCAAAACATAGATGTTGAAAACGTGGTAGCAGAGGCAAGAAGAAATTTTATGAGCATTGGATAAGTGATAAGTTTGCGTGCCTATTTATAACATAATTTTACTGCCCATGAACCGTGCCATTAAAAAATACAAAAAAAAATGTTTATTACTTAACACTAATGTGTTTTCTTTATGAATAATCAGAAATCACTCTCACTTTCCTTCTTAAATTAGATTTTTTTAGATTTATTTTTAACAAAACGAACTTCATCGATATATGTTGCCTACTTTTGATCAACCGAGGAGGGGACGCACATAAAGAGAGCCTTCCTAAAAGTCCGATCCTCCGCCAAATCCACTTTTCCATACCATCATTTCTTTAAAAAAAAGGTGACGGGTTGATTAAAATTAGGCCTACACTCATCAGACAAAACGCTGAATTGCTTTCTCTTTACGTCTGTTTTCTATGTGGGTACTCCCAAATTAAAACACAACTCACAATCTTGTCAATCTTTTTATTGCGTTAAAATAGTAGCAAGACTGATATTATTTATCAAAACAAAGCAACATTACCAACATAACAACGATAATTATTAAAAGCTAGCATTCGATAAAGACTCCTTCCTTCTTTAACTAAATCAATAAATTCAACCAACACCATATCAACGAAGAATGCTAAAGCCATTTCATCTCCATTCTCAAATATCTCCGAAACAGTCTTCATGAATCTATCAAATTCTGTTCCCCCAAAGAAATGTCTAGATTTCTCGTAAACTTCCAAATTCTTGTCGTATTCGCTACATTTCTCTTTGTTCATTCTGTGGTATTTCCTTAGTGCATTATCGCAATCGCTCTGTGATGTTCTCGGTGAACAACTTGCTTTGACATCGTTTATTGGCTGAAATATTATAGTAGAATTAGAACAGAATTTTCGAGAGTCGGTGTCTACGGAGAATCTACAGGCCCTGGATTCGGATCCCGCCATGTGCTAATGTGTTTCTCGATTTCCGATTTATATATCCGAGTTCTTATGGTGAAGTAAAAACATCGTGATGCTGCAAATATCTGCGAAGTAATTCTAAGATATGTGTCAACCCGCACTGGGCCAATATTGACCTAGCCACAGAGGATAGGCTTCGTCATAGTAATTTCATACCCCGTCTTCTTTGTACCTAAAGAAGTAACTTAGCCCTTATTGGCACGAGCCCTTTTTATAGCGCTTTAAAAAAAGTGTTCCAGAAGTAATGCATTTCCATTGACCTGTCCATACTACAACGCTTTCAAAACGCGACTTTAAATACAGTATTGCATTATGAGCGATAGGAGAAAGGAACAAGAGTAATGTTAAAGCTATCGTCGCTCCAGAGCCGCCAACGCCGAGTTAAAAACGTGCGAGTAATAGCCCGTGCGAATGAGAGATAAAGACAAAAAATAATTCCAACCTGGTCGATAACATCTCTAAGCTGTGTAAGATACGCTCTCATTTGTCCAGCCAAAGCGTCAGCGGGTTGACGCAATTCTGCCTTAGTTTTGTTAACCGCTTCCCTTACTCTGTCTATTCTTTCAGACGCGTTGCTGTTTGAATAAAAAATAAGTGCTGAAGATAACACAGCTACGAAACGTTTGCTTTTTATTTTAGCTTCACTTGTTGTTGTTGGCCTGTAATAAATATTTATAATAATTTCTTGTTCATATTCCTTTTACTTAAAGAAACTAAAACTGATTTTTTGATTGAGCAATTTGATTCGGAAGTGACAGAGACATGCAGGATTACGTGTGACTAAAATACGTAGACGAACAGCCTCCTACTGTTAAGAAGAAAATCTGACAGTGTGCCGGTGTACTGGCGCAACACTAGCCTTATTAAAATGTCAACGTTTATATCCCCTCACTAATCATTCTGACACTTGATTTGGTAACGAAAGCGCGTCATTCGCGCCAAAGGGTTCTAACTAATAATGTCTAAAACTACTTACAACATCAAATAAAAAGCGTCAAAATTCTTCAACATGTGATTGTTCTTTCCCGATTGATCGTTTCTATCTGTCTTCATAGCGTTGTAACACGCCACAAACAACGCTAAAATTGTTAGTACTTTCCCAATTACCAGCATCCTGTAACAATTATAAAATATGTGTAACTGGATCTAGTAAATAATTCTAACAAACAAACTTAAGATAGTTTACCCCTGTAACACTACAAAGAAGAATATATACGAATCGAATAATTTTACAAGCTTAAAAATGCATCGAACCGTGGATTATCGGTCACAATGTACAATCGAGTTTATCCGCGGTGTGCCACTGACAAAAAAATACCATGTTGAAACAAGACAAATGCTGTCCCTTGTTAGAAAAATCAACTAAGCAGTGACGCAAATGACGAGATAATAATTAAAAGCAAAGTCGTATACCACTGGCTAATATTTTGCACAGGCACATTATAAAGCTCCTCCCAATGGTTATGGTTATTGTTTGCCCAACGTCGTCTCTATGCGAACGTAACATTCAAACAACTGTCGCTTTTAAATGAAACACCAACATTTTCCTTAATTGTACACATAGATATATAAAAATATATTTTAGATCAATACATAATAATCAGATACATACAAAAGCCATACATTTTAAGTGCATAAAAAATGTTTTTTTTTTCAAAGACAATGTCTACATGGTAAAATGTGTTGCCTCTACTGCAGTCTTTCCCAAAGTGGGCAATAACGCTACCTTGTGGGCGCTGCAGGTTTCAAAAGTTTCGTTTTGAATTCTCCGTTAATATACATATAGTCACAATAATTAATTAATTTGATTTGAAGTTATAGTGGTTTTTAATCATGTGAAAATATGGGGGCGCTAAAAAAATATTTATTCCCAAAGTGGGCAGTAGACAAAATAAGTTTGGGAACCACTGATCTAGTGGTCAGTTGTAGCAAGACATAAAATATTTAATATGGGAAACTACAAAGTTAATAAATACCTTGATATATAAACTGTTCCGATGAAAGAATACATACAACTGTTATTTCTTTCTGATTACAATAAAATATAATTTAACTAAATTCGTGATTCACGATAAATTCAAGTAATTATCTCATCATAATAAAGTTATAAAAATAGCCATCAACAACATATTAGCTTATTCAACAGTGGTAGAGCCCGCTTTAACATCTTCACACGAATTGGCACGGCTCGCTCAGTGAAATACCACGACCACACAGAAGACACGCGTCAAGTGGAAGCAATTCCGCGTACAGTCTGATGAGTGTGCGTCCCGGAGGCCAAAATTAGTCTCTCTCCCTTCCCACCATTTTTCTTATAAGGAAAGGATGGGAAGTGGAAGTGGACTTTCGGGATGAGAGGATGCATGGAAAGGGAAAATATTTTCTTTCTGTGCATCCTCTCCTCCGTCGATTAAAGGTAGGCAACGCATATGCAATTGCATATGTGTATGGGCAACGGTCACTTCTCTATTTCAGCGATTTCAGGTGGCCGCTCGCTCTTTAGTCACCTTGTGATATAAAAAAAATTAACAAAAAAGCTTAAAATTCCACACTAGATGTCGCCTGCGAGTCTATCCACGCGAAATTAAGAAAAACTAAGAGGCTAATATGTTCTTCCAGACTATGTATATCTTTTGCAAATTTCACAATGACGCGTGATATGAACATTTCGACGTGATGATGATGAGAACATGAAAGTAATGAGATTGAATGTGGATGGCTACAAAGGTAAAAGACCAAAGAAAGTATGTTTGGATTGTATGAAAGATATGCGTAAGTAGGGAGTGAATTCAGATATGACAGCTGATAGAGATGTATGGAGGAGTACATACTATGCTGACAATACATAGAGCAGGTTGATGATACAGGATGTTGAAATAAAAAAGGATCTAATAGATGCTTCCAAAAGTTAAATAAATTGATTTAAACACTGTTTCAAGGCTTTCATAATTGCACCTTTCTTTTATAAACGTCTAATTCTTAAACCAAAGCTATAGTAGCTTTTCTTATTTTATTAATAGGAATATTTTAAATTAAAACACCAATGGAAGGGTAATAATCAAAAGATCGAATCAAATATTTTATTATCATTCGCCACTTGTATATTTTAATACAACGGTAAGTTTAAACTGTTACAAGGGTAATTTGTATAAGCCCGTGTACGTAAAATATCTCTACCTTTTTCAATTAAATTTGGAAATTTAACTAACGCAATATTAATAAAATACGACAATGCAACTTCATCGTCATTATCAGATATTTCTGTTATATCTTTATAGAAATCAATAAATTGTGGATCATTGAAGAAGTTTTTAGCTTTCTCGTATAATTCCAAATTCCTATCGTATTCGAAGCATTGTTCAAAATTCACCTCTCGGTACATTCTTAATTTGCGCAGACATTCTTCTTCTTCGGTGTTCGGTAGACAGCTCGCTTTTATATCGTTTATTGGCTGAAATTATTGAAATATTAAAAATAATTAACCCTAATTTGTCATACTTAATACAGTAATGGACGCACACAGACAGGTCAAACTTATAATAACCTCTTTTGCGTCATGACTTAAAAAGAAATAAAGCTAGTCATAGAAAACTTGTAGATATCTTATTAAATAAAAAAGACAAATGGATAGAGCCATTGTTAACTTTGTACTAAGCTCAAGACTACCTAAAGTTAGAGGTCAAAAACTTAGTCAAACACGCTGGCAAAGTACGGATTGATTGACTTTATATTTCTCAATTCTTTGCAGATATATCCAGGTAACACAATGCTTTAATTCAACATAACAATAGCTAGAGTTACTATAAGAGTACTTGCAAAAAGGAAGAGAACACAAATACAACAACTTTAACAGTGGTAGAGCCCGCTTTAACATCTTAGCACGAATTGGCCCGGCTCACTCCGTGAAATACCACAACCACGCAGAAGACAGGCGTCAAGTGGAAGCAATTCCGCGTTTCGTCTGATGAGTGTGCGGTCCGGAGGCCTAATTTAGTCCTCTTTCTGTTCCCACCCTTTTTCTTATAAGGAAAGGATGGGAAGTGGAAGTGTACTTTCCGGATGAGAGGATGCATGGGAAGGGAAAATATTTTATTTCTGTGCATCCTCTCTTCCGTCGATTAGTAGGCAACGCACATGCAATTCCGTATGTCCATAGGTAACGGTCACTTCGCTATTTCAGCGATTTCAGGTGGCCGCTCGCTCGTTTGCCACCTTATGATATAAAAATACTTACAAAAATGTTTTGAAGAGTCCTCCGTAGAACAAACGCTAAAATTATGTTCAACTACTGTCTCACCTGGTCAATAGCAGCTCTAAGCAAAGCCAGTGACGCAGCTGTCTCCCCACCTAAAGCATCAGCTGGCTTGTATAATTGAGCCCTTGTCCAAGTGACTGCCTCCTGTACTCTTTGCAGTGATGTCGGCATGTCACTCAGCGCATTGTAAGACAACGCTAGAGATAGTACTGACATAAAGCGCTTTTGTTTGTTAGTCACGTCTGTTGTGCGTCGCGCTCTGGAGACATAAGTATAACACATAAGAGTACTAATAATTGAGAAGTTAACTATGTTTTAAGTTTAAGTAAATAGATTAAAAAAAAACAATTGGTTTGAAACATGCCTGTAACTGTATTATGTAACGTATATTTTGGATCTATTTATTTTACATTAGTATTACTAATATTACTAACTAGCTGTCGCCCGCGACTCCGTCCGCGAGACTACGTTATATGCCAAATTTCGTTGAGGCGTTCAGAAGATACCTTCAAACAAACATCGAACCATCCATCTAATCTTTCGCGTTTATAATATTACTACTAAGTTCTTTTTAATTACATGCAGACGGAGTCACGGGCAACAACTAGTATACTATAATTGTACTCGTCTATGTAGTTATGTGTGTTGAACAATATTCTATATAAAAATTACTTACAACTTATTATAGTATCCGTCCACGTTCTTCAATAATTCATTATTTTCGCGCCATTTGCTGTTCCTGTCATCGACCATGACCTCACATGTGACCAGATATAGTGACAGTATTGTGACAAGCAGACTTATCCAAGACATTATGCAATTTCTGTAAAATTCTAAAGATAGGTATCATCATCATCACTCTTTACGTCCCCACTGAGAGGCTCGGAGCCTACCCTAAGTTGACTAGGCTATAGTCAATGCTGGCCCAGTGCGGGTTGACTTCACACATATCTTTGAATTTCTTCTCAGATATGTTCAGCATCACGATGTTTTCCTTCACCGTAACATCGCATAAATGTCAATACTGGCCCAGTGCAGGTTGAATTCACACATATCTTTGAATTTCTTCTCAGATATGTGCAGCATCACGATGTTTTTCTTCACCGTAACATCGCATAAATGTCAATACTGGCCCAGTGCAGGTTGACTTCACACATATCTTTGAATTTCTTCTCAGATATGTGCAGCATCACGATGTTTTTCTTCACCGTAACGTTGGATAAATGTACATATGTAAATTTAATATCGAGAAATACATAAGTACACATCTGTAATTGGAGATGACTATGGGCAGATGTCGCTTACAACGATTTAAAATTAAAAAAAACTTTACGTCTCTTGTCAAAAAAATCAGTTACATCATCTCTCTAAAGTCACTTAATATAATTTTATCATCATTAAAAAATATTAGTTTTTTTTTAATTTAAATTAAAAACTTACTTTTATTTCAATTCGCTGCGTGTTACTCGATAGTAAAATGTATGTATTATGGTAAGATATAAAATTATTTTAACACTTTTTCGTGATTTAAAATTAATACTAAATTTAATTACGTACATAAATATTTGTTAAACATATTCATTTGTGTAAATTACATAATATTTACCGTAATATTATTTGCGACTTACTTAACTATCTGTTTTAACACTAGTCGTCGTCCTTGACTTTGTGAGCGCAAAATTAAGTAAAAAGTATAAGCCTATATTATGCCCACGTCCATCAACTACCTTTCCGTCCAAGTCTCGTCAAAATCGGTTCAGCCGTTCCGAACATTACACGAAACAAATGCGAGACAGACATACTATTTTTTTTCTTAAATTGCTTTTTCGTTATCAGCAACGCGAATACATCACGTGTATACTTTTTTCTCGATGTTACATGCAGACACTTCAATTTTCTTAATATCTACAGATTGCAGTTTTTATTTTGCAATCGTTAAGCATTAAAAATATTTAAAAGTCTTAAATTTATGAAAACAAAAGAACCATTCCAAATTCAAATCCCGCTCCGTCATTGGTCGATCGAAACAATGGCGCATTACTAAATGTCAGATTTGACAGACGATAAATTTAAAAACCTTCCGACATTACAATATAGTTTCTTTTTAACTTTTAATATCAGACAGTATATTTTAACTAAATTAAACAAATAATACTATGCGTTGAGGGATAGGCAGACAAAAGAGATATTAGTAATTATTATTAGGAATTTTCTAAAACTCAATATCCGTAACCAAGAAACAACTAAATGTATGAATCCTGATTACTTTACAAAACGATTATATTTTTATCTACGAGAAGTATTAGAAAATTGGTATTTCGTTATTAAAATACTAGCTTTCACCCGCGACTCCGACCTAGCGGAGTCAAAAGTGCTTAATATACCTTTGTGTTCTTCCAGACTATAATCTACATCTATGCCAAATTTAAACGAGATCCATGCGGCGGTTGTGGAGATACCTTGTATCAAACATCCATCCATCTAGACATTAGTAGTCGTAGTAGAGAATTACTACACCATGCAGATGGTTGCTTATTATCGAATTAATAGAAGAAACGTATCTCAGAATCTAATTTTTAAATATATTATTCCCTTTAAAAAAGCTTTCAAAGTTCAGAACGCCGCCCTAAAAGCTCGCTGTCAAAATATTGCCGGTATAACATCAAAGTGGGTGACTGAACAAATTTTAAATTACAACCACGCCACCTGGGGGTGGGGGCGGAAAGCTTTTAGCCACTTAATATCGTGAGCTTTTTCAACAAAATCGATGTTCCGATGGTGTGATGAGGTTGGGAAAATTATAGCGAAAAATACAATAGCCTTTTTATTAATCGACTATAAAAAACAAAAGGAAATATATAACTACATTAACAATAGACTTAGGCCTTTCGAACACAAAGCAACGTAAATCGTTGCAAAAAGGTTATGTTGGGAGCTTCGCGTTGCGCGCTCCGTACACAATGTTGTAGCATCGACGCGAGTCATCAGTCAACATGTCAACTCTTTGGACTCCGCCATCTTGAAATTTGCTAGTATTTTTCTCAAGACAATCAAAGAATAAAATATCGATGTTTACGAATCTGTATGGCTGTTTATTGCCTAAGTGTTCTTTGCCATTAATATCGCCTAGTTTTAAAGATTAACATTGTCTTGTGTACAAAGGAATAATTGCTAAAACACATATTGTGACCCAACTTGTTTAAAGTAAACAACAAAGATAACATGTTTATATTTTAGTGTCACGTTTAAAATTAATTATTACCTTAAAAGTCTTATCTATTTCAAGAATGAATAAACAACAAGCAAATATTACCACAGGACTCCATCGTATTTACTCTTCTATTTTTAAGTATTGTCATCCCTTATATTGTCTTTGAATAAAACAGAGACAGCATTATGTGTTGATACAAATGTCACTGCAGTGAAACAACAATTAAATTACATCTGTCGCAAAAGAAACAAAAAAAAATTATTTTACAATCGACCTTATTTACGATTACAAAAATAAAATAATAATTTCAACGATGGAGAACCCATGTAAAAAATGAAGTTAAAATATTTTGACACACCTTTGTTCCATAAAAAGATATGGTACAAAAAAAAACGTTATTCCTGTTTTAATCCGCCCACTTAAGTCAAGAGGCGGCGCGGTTGCTCATTGGCTGAGGGTATCGGCGCGCGCGCAACAAAAACAAGACCAACAAACAGGTTAGGTTGTAAACATTTTGTTTTCGGTATGCTAATACGAACTGGGCTTACTCATCGATCGCGATTTTCAAATATAAATCCAAACAACAATTTGTCAAAGTGAATGTTTAATGTTGCTAAAAGAGTTTAATGACTTATGACTAATTTTACTTACTTATGACATTTTAATATTGAGCTATATTTTTAGAAGTTAGCCTAGATTTAGTTATTAAAAACTTAATAATAAATAAGTAATTTATCCTGATACTATTCATCATCAGCTCATTATAAGTCCCCACTGAGGGACTCAGGTTGATGGGACCGCGAAGTCTTGAAGTGACCACGGGCTGTCGACGCAGCGTGGGCAGGCCTCCCGCAATGAACATCCAACCTTGACCAGATCACGTCAAGGTTGGATGTAGGTAGCACAGGAACATCGTGGCAATCTTTGAGGCACATTTAAAACACTAAACAAAATGTTTTAAATTAGATTTTGCAAAATCTAAGCAACCAAAATATCTCTTTTCTAACCTTATTTATATATCATCTTGTTAAACCTAAAAAAAACACAGCATAGTATGTAAATTCATTTACTTCTAGATTAGTAATACAATAAATGCGAATGTTTAGAAGTTTAGATGGATGGATGGATGTTTGAAAGTATCTCCAGAACGGCTCCATAAATCTCTGCATAAAGCTACTTATTAAATATTTTAATTCCTCGTGAACGGACTCGCGGGAGGTAAGCTAGTATTTACATAAATCAAAGAACAAACATTAAACTAAATAAAGGAAGTAACTTTATTAACAAACCGGAAAGCGTTTAACAAATAATATTTTCCCATAGATATTTATATAAAAAGCGCTATACTCGAGCGGTAGCTAAAAATACTCGTAAGTTTGTACAGCACTCAGATGCCGCTAAGTGGCGTTCTTATCTCCCTCGGAGGAACTCTGAAAAAACATGGCGCCGGGCGGCGAGCTTTGATGTCTGTGAGCAGGCGCCGACTCCTCGACTCCACGGTCTGAACATCGATATCCCAAGGTGAGAATTGGACTTTTAGTTTTTCATCTAATTAACGAAATAACGTTAATTGGATAATCGTTTAAAATGGAGCACTTTAAAGTATGTTACTCATTTATATTGTTTAATTAATTTTAAGTTTTTTTTTTAGAGAAAAGAATCCAAACGCAATTGTCATAATTCAATTAATGTTTATTTGAATTAATGTTACATTCCAGTATTTTATTTATAATTGTCCACGAAATAAAAAAAATCTAGTAATAAATATAGCTTAAGTCCCGCGAGGATAACTTGCCAAAAGTGAACGAATTTTTCAAATCGGTCCAGTAGCTTCGCAGACTTTGCAAACTTAGTTAAAAAGTATCCAATGCTATTTTAAACGCTGTTACTAATTTTTGTAATCAAATGTTTTGTATACAGTATCTATCCTTACGGCTATTCAAATTTACTTTACCTCTATGACGTAAAATTGAACCGATATTGTTTCCGCGATGCAAATGTGATTCCCCGTAGCGTGGAGTGTTGACTTCCGGCGCGCACCGGATATGAAGCCTGATTTCAATATTATTGCAACTTCAAGTATCACTTCACGTATATTGCCTCCGCGACAACAGACGCCGAGTTAAGATTAGCACACCGCGAAAGCGAAAATGTAGCGAAATGATAGCGAAGCGAATCCAATTTTTATATGAACTAGCTGTGTGACTCCGTCCATCCATCCATCCACATCACATCCATCTAAACATTCGCATTTGTAATATTAGTATGTTAAATAAAAAGCAGCTCTTCAAGGTATAAATTTGAAAAAAATGAATAAATAGTATCCTATGTCCCTCTCCTGGCTCTAAGCTACCTCCTAATCAATTTTCAGCTATATCGGTAAAGCCAATCTTGAGTTATAAATAGTGTAACTAACACGACTTTCTTTTATATATATATATATATAAAGACTAGCGTACTATAGCTAAGCTAGCCTGAAAGCGATTTAATTTAGACCAAAACGTTCATTTTCTATACGGTTTTTATATCTTTTAATGCGCTATATTTAGTTTTGTAATCGCTTTCGTGGCCGTGTGCTAGAGGCTTCAATTTTTTTTAAATTTAACTTTGTATTTGAGTTACAGTATGTTGTAAAAATGCGTAGCTTTGGTAGCTACGAATTTGTACTATAAAAGTAACAATTACGTCTCTTTCCAAGTAAAAGATTTCTTATAGTTCTTATAATTATTTTACCTTAAGAAAGTATTGTTTTTCGCAGATTCACATAATTATTTATGTCTGTATTGCCTATTTTCAAGAAATTCATAGTCATAGAGTTTTGGTGATTTTTTTTTTCAATAATCTACTAGTTTAAAATGTTTTTTTTTATTACAACGTATCGTAAAAAGAAGCATACAAAAGAACTTAGTTCTTCTAAAAAAACAATAACAAAGAAATCTCGCCAAAACTTTTGTCGCTTTGCCTTCGTAGACGTGACCCCTTCTCTGTCCCACCCCATTTCCATTAAGCAGATTAAAAGTAAGGCATTGAACTTTCCCTCAGTACTATTTTATTGTTGCGGTGTACAATCTGGGATACATTGAGAATGTAATAGATGAAAATAATTCTTTCGAATATTGATTTGAAATTAATGACAGAATCAATTAAGTTGTCGCCCGCAATTCCGTCCACGCGGATTGTCAATAAACTTAATTAGTAGTCTATGTGTTCTTCCAGGCAATGTTCTACATCTATACCTACCAGCGAGATGCATGCAGCTGTTAGATACATTCTAACAAACATCCATACAAACAATCGCATTTATAAT